TAGCAGTAGGGGTGCTTGAAAATGGAACTTAACCTTCCTTTGGAAAGGTATTGTATTTACCATAAATCAGCGTATTGTGCCCAGCTTCGATAAGCTTGCTTGACCAACATCTACCTCCAATCATTAAATTATGCAGAGATGTAGAATATTAAATTTCCTATCTCTCACTATGCATTTATCCCACAGTTGGATGGCCATCATGGCGGGGCATCAAAATATTATAAATATACAATCTAGTGTAAAATTGACAATATTCATTTTGTTTATGTAATATATTCAGTTTTAGTTTTAGAATAAAATTATATTTATGGAATTACAAGGTTGACTATTACCATCCAAAGGAAATATGTACCTGTAACGGTTACAATTACATTTCATCCCCTGACACTGGTCTAAATGAAATAAATATCATATACGGCATTATAAACTTGTCAATTCCATATGTAAACGACCCGTGAAGACGCCGGGGTAGAATAGGTCTTCAGCAACCCATACTTGCCGTAAAAGGTGACTATGCTTGTCGTAAAAGGCGACCAACAGGATCGGGTGGTCAGGCTTGCTGACTTGGTTGATGCATGTCATCGATCCCAATTGCGTGGATTGATGCTCATGATATTAATCACTGGATTGTCTGGTCCAGACTCGATTATTTACAGACTGCCGTCATATAGCTGTAATATTGCATAGTGCAGCGTTAAACAACAAACCAACCAAAATATGTAAACATTGTTCAAACAAACAGGAGATAATCAAAGGTTCATAATTTTTTTGTCCTGTTGATACTGAACATTAATAAATATCCATAGTGAAATTAAAATATGCGAAAATATATGTGAAAGATATGCAAAATCTACATCATAATTGAAACTGTAATCAGTAGAATTCTTTCATTTGCCAACCTTCACCTCAAAGAAAATACCATACATGTACAACTATGTTGACATATAACATCACTACCATTGACCAATTTTTAGAAAATGACTTGTTCATTGACATCATAACACAAAATTTTACAAGGGGACTTTCGTTGATTCAGTGATCGTATATGCATAAATGTGTCATGTAAGTAATCAGAAACATTCTGACAATCTGTGTATTGTTTATTTGTTTTTATGTTTTTCATTGTAAGAGAAATAGACCGAAATTCTGATAAATACTGTTGTCGTTGTTCATGATTTTGTGTCAGTCATGGCATGACGCAGGACGGAAACTTTCTGTTGAATATGCATAATCATTGCAATGTATTTATTTCTCCTTCCCTAATTCTAGCTACGATTCCCTTACCATGCATATTCTGAAAATGTTGAGCCAATGTATGCAATGATTAGATTAATGGATTTCTTAATATCGGAGCAACTGCTACACTGTGTAAAATCTGAATTTTGCTTCTTTTTACATTTTAAAAAGTGCAGTTTTCTGAGCACAGCGTTCATTTTCACACCTAGTTTATTTCACTTGACTTCATCTAGAGACTTTGTAATGGTGACAAAGACCATTTGTCATTTGATTAAATAGGAATTCAGGGATGTATGTATTGCAGCTGAGTTAGAAATACATGTGATGTAATAGGAGTCTCATAACCGGTGTACGTGAAACATGATTTTGTAAACATTATCCATTATGGTGAAAAGTCCACTTCATTCTTCGTGTTTGCATATTCTCCAAAACATTCAAACAATTCTAGGGTTATCAGTCATGTTTTGGAATGATCATGTGTGATTTGATAAAAGACAGATACCCGCAATCAATAATATGCTATTTTTAAAATTCATTTCTCTGAGTAAATATCCGAAATTTAGATTTCAAAACTTAATGTGAATAACACTATGAATGGTGATTTAGTAATGTGTAAAAAATGACGAGATTTACGATGTGCCTAATTTTCAGAGGTTATTTTCAGTAATTTTGCTTTGCCTAAAATGACAGTGGATGATATCACACAGTTTCCCACAGAATTCAAAACTGTGAAGTGTATTTTTGTGTGTGATGTATAAATTGTATTTTATTTGACTTCAAAGTGAGGGTTGAAGAGGAGGGACATGTATGTCCCTCTGGCATCCAGGGGTTAAAACCCCCTATAAAATTTACATGACAGTCCATATTTTCTTGTATATATCACAGATTTGTTCACCGAGTACAGCATAGTAGAAGGAGTACAGCATAGTAGAAGGCGTATGGAACTACCTAGCAACTGTTATCAGCTGGTAATCGAAAATGTTTTAGTTTCCTCAAGTTTGAACTAACTAACTAACTAACTAAATTTAACTCGCTGTTATGGTTTTAATAGGCAACAGCACTTGTCAATTTTCTAAGTGTCCAGGGTGCTTATTAGGGGATTTTTTCCCATTAGGATAGTAAATTGTATACTTGTAAAATATTGAAAACTTTGAAAATAATTCATATGATTGTGAAGATGTATATTATTTGTGCAATTTTTATGACTTATATAAATAATTGTGATCCCACCAGGGGTATGTTGAGTGGAAACTGTTTAAGGCTTCAAAAAGACTGCTTTGTGTTTTATCTGAATGCCACCACCACACTTCATCGTTTCAGCCATTGTTGCTGATAATGTTAGGATATGAATAGTGATACACCTCATATATTATACAACTAGACAACTAGGGGATTTCCAGTAAGATATCTAACCACCATATAAAATCCCCCCAGAATATCAAATGGTCAGTCCCCAAAATGAAAATCCCAAGTTTGAATGAAATAATGAATTTTCCCAATTTACATGCCAAGGGCAATTACCGTATTCAACGAAATAAGCGCTCTCAAAATTAGAAATAGGGGACACTTATTAGAATATAATTTTGGTGAAAGAAAGAGAATTGAAAGATCGTAAATTTCATGTTTTGGGGAACGCAGAAAACAACTGCTCACAGTATTTTACTCCTTTAGATATATATGTCTCTTACAAATAATACTACCTGCATACGTGCACCTATTAACTTACATATGTATGTATTTGTGATAACACAATTCCACATTATCGATGAGTAAAAATGATCGTCGATGCCCATTGTTCCAAATAGGAAGTTCCCGGTACTGGTCATCAGCAGGTAAAGTTGAAAAATAAACATCCGCTTTGTGTTTGTGATTTTCAAATATTACCTTATATTACTTACCTTTATTTTTTGGTGATGTATTTAATGTTTATTACCATTGCTTTGATTCAGTTACTGATTTGTAAAATTGACCTGAATATTGTTTCTCCAAACATGTTTATTGTTGTTATGTCGGCTGTGGTGCTGGTGATGACAGGTCACCAGTTCAACAGTCAATATATCCAGCTTGTGAATAATAATACTACAACCACCTACCTGAGATTAATTTATAAACTTTTTCTGAAGTAAATGAATGCAAATATCCTAAAACTACATCTAGTTTTTAATTAATCATCGTTTTCAAAAGTAGAATAAATTTGCATAACACTACTGCCATAGGCTAATTTGCATATCATGTGACTGGACATTCTCTCGTTTTTAAACAAACACTGAAATCAGAACAGATTGAGGCTTTACATATTGTTTTGAATAATTTTTTGCTACTAAAACTACGACTGTGAGGTGCATGACAGTATATATCTATGCATCAAAATGATCGTATTGCTACCTCTCCGGATGGCTTCGATGACAGCATGTGATGTCAAAACAAAAACAACGCAAATGGAAATAGTTTTTCACGTTTTGAGATATTTTCTCACTGAAAGTTAACCATGACAAATGTTTATCTTGATGTGTAGACTCGTCAAAAAAATAAAACAAGAAAATAAAATAATTGTTGCATTAATAAATATGAGTTGGCGCTGTCGCGGTTTGTGGGAAAGCGGGTTCTATGGAATTGGTTGAACGGATGTTGTAGGTGTTGTAGGGACACGATTTTTCGGAAATTATTATGTAAACATTGAATGAAATTTTGAATAAAATGATTAAGATAGATTACAAACATAAGTCCAGATACTGTAAATCTTGAAATTGCCTTTGAACCAGTCAGTAGATATAAATTATGTGTTGTTTTTAGGATAACACTGTTAATTGTTTTTACGGAAGTGCTCTACTCAGCGCTAATAAGCGGTGCTATTTGCTGTTTGATTGGATTAAGGTAAGCAGGTAAGGATATGTATCATTCGGGTGATTCCACTGGGGATGGGGTGGGGGAGTCACATTGATATTGATTTGCATTTTGGGGTCAGCAGTCGTATTAATTTGGAGACGCATTAATTTCCAGATTTACAGTATACAATGAACACTTAAATAGTGTAACAAAAGGGTTAACTTGCGTAATTCAATGCAGATTTGTTGACATTCTTTTTCCAATGATGTATCATGAGTCATATGTATGACCGCCTGAAAGGATTGAAACTAAAGAAAAAGACTATGCAGGGTATGAAACTCCCAAAAATTTCAGCCAGACAACAGGACTGGCTAGCTGAAATACTTGCCAGCCCTGACCAAAACCTGCCTGCCCCCTATAATCATATGTTTCTCAGGATAAGCTAACGGGGTTTCTTTTTGGTTACATTTTATCATTCATCTTTACATGTGAATTAATGCTTATCATCGGGAAATATTTTGAATATTTTCACATATGAAATATAACCCGACCGTCAGGCAGGGGGATTTGAAAATCTGGCAGCCCGAGTTGAAATTAACCCGTCTCGGACGGTCGGGCAGGCAGGTATTTCGAACACTGGACTATGCGTATTATACACGAGAGATATCTTTTCCAGAATATAATAGCCCATAATTATTGGTGCGCATAACACACATGCGCGTATTATACTCGAATAAATAAGTTTTGTGTTCACTGATCAATAGGAAGGGGCGCTTATTGGGATTGTTCACTTGCCAATATATTAGCAAATATCACCATGGGCGGTTATGACGTCGAATATGGTAGTTTGGAATCCTAGATAAACATCAGCTGTAACATCAGCTTTTACTCCTTCCTGGACTTGTTCATGATGTCTTAAAAGACTGTCTCTGTTTCAGCTGTGCACTCCGGCCAACACTCCTGCCACACCACCAAACTTCCCCGATGCACTCAATGCACTGTCCAAGCTATCCACATCTGACAAGTTTGGGTCCTCACCATATGCCTCATCACCTCAGCAGCTGTCTCACTCACCCAAGAGCATGGAGGTGGAAGCACAGCGATAAGGTCGTGGTCAATGGGCTGACCAGCGGAGTCAGCTGTGGATGACTTGTAGTGGGATTGAGTTGATGGAGGGCTTGGTTGACATGCCACACATACTCCCATGTTGATGCTGCGTACATGCATGCCGTGTAGTGTGCTCACCCACAAGGTTGCGATAGGACAAGAGGAACACTGGGGATATAAATACTGCCGTTTCTGTTTTGTACTTTTGGATGTGAAAAAAACTCTTGGCGAAGATCATGTTGAAGATTTGTTTAACTTTGTTTCTATATGCTGACATCTATAGTGCTAGTGACAATTACTTTTGCGTCTGAATTTTCTGCTTTTTCTCACATTGTTCTTGTTTTTACGTATCATATGATGAACATTCATGACATCACCTTTGTCAAACCAGACTGAACAAGAGTTAATTGTCTCCTTTGTGTTTTCCCCTGTGCACATATATGAGTGGATGCATGTGCATGACATGTGCACTGTTGTCAACACTGATGTGGAAAGAGTTATTGTTTTGTTTGAGTACTTGTGATGAGTGTGTGATGGAACAGTACAACTGAGAGTAGTTGAAGCTGAGCAGAACACTGCCTTACCTGGATCAGTGCTGCCCAAGATAGTCTGGCTAGTTGGGCAGTCAGTGATGTGTGTGAAAAGCTGTCAGCATGTAGAGCTTCGTCTGCCTTGTCCCCCAAACTGGTTGGGGGCGAAGCTCTCGGACTGTTTTCACGCTTCCCACACCACACCAATGTGGCACATGATGCTTAACAGTTTCTTCAGGACAAGCATGAGGATACAATTGTCTTCAGGACAAGCAAGGAAAAACATAAGGACGTACCTGTCCTTAGGACAAGCATGCAGACAAGCCAGAGGACACACTTGTCCTTAGGACAAGCATGCAGACAAGCCAGAGGACACACTTGTCTTCAGGGCGAGCATGCAGACAACCCTGATGACAAGATGTGTTCCGGGCCAGCATGCAGACAAGCCAGAGGACACACTTGTCCTTAGGACAAGCATGCAGACAAGCCAGAGGACAAACTTGTCTTCAGGGCAAGCATGCAGACACCCCTGATGACAAGATGTGTTCCGGGCCAGCATGCAGACAAGCCAGAGGACACACTTGTCTTCAGGGCGAGCATGCAGACAAGCCTGATGACAAGATGTGTTCAGGGCAAGCATGCAGACAAGCCAGAGGACACACTTGTCTTCAGGGCAAGCATGAAGACAAGCCTGATGACAAGATGTGTTCCGGGCCAGCATGCAGACAAGCCAGAGGACACACTTGTCTTCAGGGCAAGCATGAAGACAAGCCTGATGACAAGATGTGTTCAGGACAGTCAAGGTAATGCCAATCCACTGGCATACCTGCCAGTCATCATGGCAGCCAGCGTTATAGTGACTTCATCAGTACAGACATTTTGACAGATGCTTTTGTCAGTGACACTTTGTATAGTTCCCATAGTGTTTGTGGTTTATTTGACTTGAACAATTTACATTATGTATGAACATTAATATTGTGTTTACTTCCTACTACAGTTTCCATCAATTTGGTCTTCATAGCTCAGAATATCACTATTGTCTCACCTTTTGTGTGGAAGCTTCACTCATTTACATTGTATATTGTCATTATCCATTAAATGACCTATCCCAAATGTTAATACTTCTTAAATTTTTTCTTATTTTCCTTTTATTACGAAGTGGCAAAAATATCTAAAAAGCCATGGTGGAGGAGTTGATAAATTCAAACACAGTGTTGTAATCCAATTACCTGCCTCCTCAAGGATGGATTCAGACTACGTTAAAACACAGTGTTGTAATCCAAGTACCTGTCTCCTCAAGGATGGATTCAGACTAGTTTCTAAAAGACATATGCATAAGTGAAGGTCATGAACTCACCATCTGTCGTTGCAGTTGGTGTCTCTTCATGAGTTTGAATAAGTGATTTTAAGAGTGCTTCAACCATTTATATATACTCACACGCAAAAGAAACGCAAGAGTTTTAAGCAAATAGGTACACGGAACTATAAATTGATACTAGTTTTGGCATGTAGTGAAGCCTGTTGGTGTTATCAATATTTTTGGTTGCATTTTGGAAGCCCCGAGTAAGAACGCAACATAAAACACGAATCGCCAAAACGCACCATTTCAATGAATATGTGGGTATCATGCACCCATTTCTCGCGAAATCGAAAATGCACGAACTGTCACAAACTGTAGTCGGTATAAAACTGGCCGATTCTTGGACCTACCACTCCTTGGTCAACTATGCCACGCCTAACTCAAATTCAGAGAAACCAGGCTATCGGACGTTTGGAAGCTGGAGAGTCTGTCCAAGATGTTGCCCGTCATTTCAACATTAACATAGCCACAATTTACCGTCTCCTGCATCGATACAATGCTACACAGACCACAGATGACCTTCCTCGGCGCGGTCGTCCTAGGGTCACCACCCCTCGACAAATTCGGCAGATTACCCGTCAACACCAGCGACATCCGTTCCTAACTGCAAGTGAAAGTGCTCGACAGACCATAGGAACACATAATCGACACATAAGCTGGGACACTGTGATCCGACGTCTCCGTTCAAACAACCTCAGATGTCGCCGACCAGCACGCTGTCCTGTTCTCCAACCACGGCATCGACAAGCACGACTTCAGTGGGCACAGGGTCATCGCAATTGGCGTCATCGTGAGTGGAGGCGTGTCATCCTCTCTGATGAAAGTCGCTTTTGTGTCTCCCATGCAGACGGAAGAGTCAGAATTTGGCGGCGTCGAGGTGATCGTTTCGCTGACAGAAACGTTGCGGAAAGGGATCCATGGGGTGGACCTAGCGTCATGATTTGGGCAGGGATTGGACTTAATGCGAGACTTGGACCCATGTGCTTTCTGAATGTTTGTCAAGGTCGGGGACACGGCGTCACTGCTCAGCGGTATATCGACCAAATGATCAGCCCCACGTTGTTCCATTTTTTGCACAACATCAACAACACATTTTCCAGCAGGACAACGCTCGTCCCCATGTTGCCAGAGCTACCATGGCCTTTCTGCAACAACACAACACCCGTGTTCTACCGTGGCAAGCCTTCAGCCCTGATCTGAACCCCATCGAACACTTGTTGGATGAGATTCAAAGGCGTCTGCACATTGTGCGCCCAGTCCCTACAACTGCCGATGAACTACGCACAGCTGCTCTGGATGTGTGCAGGAGGATCCCTAGGGCCTTCACAAATCGTCTGATCCACTCAATGTACAGGAGATGTGTGGCAGTGATCAATGCTAATGGGGTCACACCAGGTATTGACTCACATTTTGGGTATTGACCCGAAACTGTGTAAGCCCTTAACATTTGAAAAAAACAATTATGTCATCTGTCTTCAGTCAAATGTTTTGTCAATCTTGCCCTATTAGTATTTCTTGTCTTTACTGTTGAAAATAAATAACATGTATACTGCATACTCGACTTGCGATTCTTTTGCGTGTGAGTATATATAGCTTCAGGATATCTACGGTTGTTGTCCTGAAACATTTTCAAATCAATTGATTTGAACTATATTTCACACATGTCCAACTTTAATGTGTTATTTGATAAGATATATTGGCAATTTATACCCAGATAAAACTGCCAGCACTTAACTGGCAGTTGAGCATAATTGATGGATAGTTGATACCTCAGCAATATGTTTGGCATATTGCTGAAAAAGTTTTATCCAGCTTCTAAATATAAGGCCAAAGTTGAAAGTTGACTTTACGCGATAAACGTAGATTTGTGTTTACAGGCATAAGTTAATGGGATCTTACTACAAAGAGGAGGACTCTATTTTCATCAATATGTCGGCCAACATTTTAGTATTTTGAAACATGACTGACGTGTGAATGGTTGTCGATTTCACATGGTTATTACTTACATCTGCTACGAAATGGCAACAAATATGTCGTGTGAAAACGAGTTGTACCTACATCATATGAAGACAAGGGAGTTAAAAAAAGTCCAGTTTCAACCCTTGCAGAACAAGGCTGGAATTTCTGGGCTCGATCGTAGCGCCACCAGTGTCTATTACGAGTTATGTCCCTCCTATTGACAAATCAGACTCCACCTCTCATATTACATGCATTTCTTCAAACAAAATGGCGGCGTTCAGTCAAGACAATCGGATCTATGATCAAAATCTAAATTGTGATAAAACTAACATAACTTGTCTTACTTCGCATCTTACTAGTGCATCAAATCACGTGAGCACCTTCATTAAAAACATAAATTAATTTGGAGTTGGAGGTACGCATGCTTTGCAAATCCTTACCGGATGTCGATTGTGTTACCAGATTTTGATTGGACTATGCGTAGGCTCGTTAGTCTAGGCAAAATATAACTCCATAATTCCAGACTAGTTCTTCAAGGGTGGAAACCGGACTTTTACAGTCAGTTACTCCCTTGCCTCGGGATGTGCTTGTCGTAAGAGGCGACTGACGGGATCGGGTGGTCAGGCTCGCTGACTTGGTTGAAGCATGTCATCGATCCCAATTGCGTGGATCGATGCTCATGAGTTCAATCACTGGATTGTCTGGTCCAGACTCGATTATTTACAGACCGCCGTCATATAGCTGGAGTATTGCTGACTGCGGCGTTAAACAACAAACCAACTAACCAAGCCTGGCTCGGGAAGATGGTCAAGAGCGTGTCTCTGTTATTTCATCCACCAAGCAATAAAGATCACTGTCCACGATTCATTCCAGGCTCGCAGTAAGTATCTAAACGTACAGTACACTAAACCATTTCATTACTTTTCAGGACCCTCATACTGCCTGCAAGGACCCTTCAAATTAATTTTATTACTTGCCCGTGAAGAGATCACCCGTTTAATAAACATACAGCTGTATTACACATTGTGTAATACCAAAACGCGTGCTTATGTACTCTCGGAACACGTTTTACGAAGAAATATTGAAAGCTCACGACATCCCTTGGCTTATTCAACGACATTGCGGGTGGAGATGATAGATCACTGAGAGGAGTTTATGCACACTCGATGACCCCAGCAACCTTGTTGCTAGGCTGACGTCACATGGCTTTGTTTCGCCGATGGATCTTGCAACAAAATTCCACAAATTACGTCATCGGGTACTGTGACGTGATTGTAAACTTTGAGGTGCAAGGCCCCGTTCCACAAGGCGATCGTACTGTAGCGCAACGACAGTCGTTAATTTTGTGGAACGGACGCCTGAAATCTAAAGGTGGACCGTTGTATGGTATTAAATTCATACGTTTCAACTTTTGACGTGTTTGAAGTATTACTGTGTTAAACTAAGTTGGATTATGCCGTGGATCGTGTAGGTGTCAGCCTATTCACACTCAACAGTATAATTCTAAAAACGTTATAAATGGCCAGTAATAAATAAAATACTTAACTCGCTCCCGTGTAAAACCAATTTTATGAAACTCGTGAATAGTTGTGGTATCTGACTCGCTTTCGCTCGTCAGATACTAGAACTATTCACTCGTTTCATAAAATTGGTATTACACGGGAGCTCGTTTAGTATTCTATATATATTGCTTGACGCCGGGCCATTATCACGCCCGTTGTTAGGTGACGTTACAGGATAGGGATAGGTGACGTCACCTTTAATAGTGACGTCATCTGGTTTGTTCTATGACGTTTTCATATTTGTAAAAGTGGGTCAGTGACATTTGTGTTGATTGCAGTATATTTCCAAACCGATACTGTTGTTTCTTTTTATCTGATAACAAATTCCATCCCTTTTTAGCTATAATAACGGTAACGCTATTTTTCAGGGCATTATCATTTGCAGAAGCCCTCGGTCTTTTCAACTGCACTCCTTCGTCTGGCAGTAAGTGGAAGACCTCGGGCTTCTGCAAATGATAATGCCCTGAAACATAGCGTTACCATTATAGTATACACATAATGCCTGTAGAGAAAATAACTATTTAATATATAAAAATAACTGAAAATGAGCTGTAAACACCCGTAAATACGCAAATGTGCGTCCAGTTCTCACAAATGTAGAGAATGGACGCAGAAATAAATATACTATAATGGTAACGCTATGTTTCAGGGCATTATCATTTGCAGAAGTCCGAGGTCTTCCACTTACTGCCAGACGAAGGAGTGCAGTTGAAAAGACCGAGGGCTTCTGCAAATGATAATGCCCTGAAAAATAACGTTACCGTTATTATAGCTAAAATGGATGGAATTTGTTATCAAATAAAAAGAAACAACAATATCTGTTTTGAAACATTTACTGCAATCAACACGATTGTTACTGACCCACTTTTACAAATATGGAAACGTCATAGAACAAACCAGAAGACGTCACTATTGAACGTGACGTCACCTAACGACGGGCGTGATAATGGCCTGTCGTCAAGCAATATGAGGGCATTATCAAGTTACAGAGGTCTGCTCATTTCTGATAACATGCGGGCGGTTTAATGATAATTCTATCCATTTTAGCTATAATGCGTCATGAGGGACGCACGGTAATGTTCATTGTGCCTACAGCGTATCAAGAGCAATTATGGATGCATGCTATTTTATGACATCTGTCATTGATTCATTTCAGACTCAAAAGTAATTATCAAAATGTACTGTACACTTTACCATTTCATTACTTTACAGGACCCTCATATTGCCTGAAAGGATCCTTTAAACTAATTATTTGGGTCCCTAGGGCCCCACATTTGTAAGTCAATGTAAAACCCCGGCTATATTGTGTTTCACTAATTATACCTGTGACTAAGGGCGTGTTTTAGTCGTGAGGCGAGAGTCCCTGATAGGACTACACACAATCAACATTTAAGAGACATAATGCGCCAGATATGTTTTTAACATGTAGTGGAAATATTATTGTTTAAAAAGTCCGACAACAGTCTCATATGAAAATAACTTCCAATGTGTGTTTGATCTCCACAGGAAAATACCTGTATCTTTCCTGAATCCTTTTTCAAATTTTCCCGAAAGCCCATCTCAGTCGCGGCTTTTTTCCATTTGTTATGTTTTTTAACGCTTGGGTAAAACTCGGCTGGAGTAAGTAAACTTTTATAAAATTCCCTTCTATCAGTTTTGACATCTATATTTTTAAAAAGCTGAATAGTCTTTCCCTGTTTACAGATTTTCATAAAAAGAAGAGTATTCTTTTGATATGTCTTCTTTTGTTGTCAAGACAATATTATCTTTAACAATTTCTCTCATAGTTTAATTTGTATAATTTTTCTTCTCATAAAGTATTCAGTATTTTCATTTCACCTTTTTCATACCACCTGGATTTACTTTAAAAAATCCCATTATTTTTTTCTGTTCTAAAGATTTCGAGGTCTTCTTTTGTCAACACAAATTACTTTAACCATCATTATTTAAACCAGGGAATGCGGCTTGTGGCTCTTCGCAAATTTCTGGTCCGTTTGTTTTACTTCTTATTTTTATTTAATGTATCAACACAAAATATCGTCTGATAGTTCTGTCTTTTTCTGAGTTGCGATCAAACCCAGAGATAAGATATTCTGATATAGTTTCATGTATTGTATCCTTTACAAGTTGTACATAGCCACCGTAATACCATGAGGAAGAATTGAAATTCATGTTCTACGTTTTATTGGATGAAGTGCCAGCTCTATAGGAGTAATAGAATGGCCTGATCTGAAACTTTTACTATGTGCACTTAACAAGGGACATAACTTCCCCAGAGACGAGAAAATAACCGAAGTTTCTTTGCTTTACTACATGAATACTACAGGAACATTTTCCCGCCATGTGTACTGTTGTTTTTCTAGTTTTAATTTTGTATTTTCCTATCAGCCACAAGATTATTTCTTTGCATTAAATAACATGTAACCATAAGATAGTTATGTATTACATTCCCGCCCCCTCCTCTAACAATCAATCCTTGTAATTGTTCCAGTTGTAAATAAAAAACCTGGCGATTCTTTATTTGGTCCATATATACTCAGCCAAAAATCGAAACGGGATTGCTTTGTTTGGAAAGAATGAGGTACTGCAGACATGAGATGAAAAGATGGAAAAAATGCACAAAAACACAACCACGTGAGAGCCTGGCGCCGAAACACACCAACATGACATACACGTGCAACATCACCTTTTGGGCTATAAAAACTTTCATTTGCATGCCATCTCAGTCTAACAGCGAAAACATGCCACGACACAACAACGCCATCGGCCGACTGAAAACAGGAGAATCATCTTCAGCTGTAACCATGTTTTCCAAGTAGCACCAAGCACCATTACAAGACTATGGAACCGTTATCAGACACACGGGACAACACGTGACCTTTCCAGAACCTACTAGAGCACAGGACAGATTCATACGGCTACGTCACGTACGTGAAAGAACCACCACGGCCACGTCTACAACTACGGCAGTTCCAGGATATCACCCCAGACAGCGAGGAGCGTATCCGCGCTGAAGATATTCACGCTAGACGACCAGTTCCAGGAGTTATATTGACGGGCCTGCGACGTCAATGGTGTCAAGGGCACAGAGTATCGCCACAACTGCGATGGAGACAAGTTTGGTCTAGTGACGAGTCACGTTTTATGCTTCGCCGTGCGGATGGTAGGCGTCACAGGGAACGTATGCACGAAATTGGATATAGTAAGTGGACAGATTTGGTGGTCGTAACGTGATGATGTGGGCAGCCATCTCCTTCACAGGTAGAACAGATCTGGTGCAATGGCACTACGTTACACGGATAAGATTCTTCGGCCACACATTATGCAACAAGCGAACGTCATTTTCCAACAAGACGACGCCCGACCTCACACGGCAAGACTGACAACAGCTTTTTTCAGGAATCACAAAATCCAGGTCCTACCATGGCCCTCCAGGTCTCCAGATTTAAACCCAATCGAACGTTTATATACTGAACAACAAAAGTTCCTGTGACATTGAATAAGATTTAATGCAAAGTTATGTTTTTTAGCAAATCTGAAACAATTTCTGTTTGCAACAGATAAAAGACTCCTGTAAGTGTTCAAATGGTTTAATTTGCCATACTGACTTCAGAAAATGCGTGATGAACATGAACATGCCAAAATGTCAATTTACAAATCAATAGCGTGTGTGTCCACCTCTGGTTGCGATGCAAGCAACACATCTTCGTCTCATGGAATGGACCAGGCGTCGCACATAGTCCTGTGGAATATCTGTCCATATCTGCTGGAGCTTGTTTCGAAGCCCACGGAGTGTCTGTGGAACACGTGGTTGACGCCGAAGGCGCCGATCCATCTCATCCCACATGTGCCCGATTGGTGAGAGATCAGGGGAGCGAGCCGGCCAGGGGATGACATTCACGTTGTTTTGTTAAAGAGAATCCTGAACAAGCGAGCAATATGAGGCCGGACGTTGTCATGTTGAAAGGTAATGCCTGGGCCATGACGACGCAAAAACGGCAGAACAACAGGGCCGATGATCTCGTCGCGGTAGCGCTGTCGATTGAGATTTCCCTCTACCACTATCAAACGGGTCCTCTGTCTTGCTGTAATCCAACCCCATACCATAACGCTGCCGCCCCTGAACCGATCTTCTTCCATGACACAATGATTGACGTAACGTTCACCTCGACGTCGGTACATTCGAATCCGTCCATCGCTGTGGCTGAGGTGAAAACGAGACTCGTCAGTGAATAGAACTTGTCCCCACTGCATGGCCGTCCAGCGTAGACGCTGTCTGCACAACTGTAGACGTGCTTGACGGTGGTCGTGTCAAAATGGGACGTATGGCGGGTCTTCTGGCGACAATCCCTGCACATCTGAGGCGACGAATTACGGTTTGTGATATTCGTCGAAGGCCAGGGATGCTTCTTGCAGTCACTGTTGCTGGCTGGAATCGATTTTGTAGGTGTGATGTTCGAATCCAGTTGTCTTGTCGATTATTGGTTACGCGAGGACTGCCACTCCGAGGATGGTCTCTGACTGCATTCGTTTGTTGCCAACGTTGCCATAAACACCAAATGGTGTTTCTGTGAAAGCATACCAATGGCTCGCAGACGCTCATTTTCGGACAGGCGTGGCATTTCGTAATGTTGAATAATTGCGTAATTTTGTTATTTTTCTGAGTGGTTGTCAGCACGATGCTAAACAATGCATATGGAATCCCGTTAACGCACATGTTTTTGTACCCATTCTTGGGTAGTGAAATGCATGGGGCTTGCATAAAAGTCAACTTTTGCATGGAATGCATGTTGTTTTTTTGTAGCAGTTGCGTTTTTGTGACTTGATTCCATACATGTACTAAAATATTGAAAACCAAACTTTACTTGTTTGAAAAATACACTAAAATATTGGTGTCACAGGAACTTTTGTTATTGAGTATAGGATGCACTGGATCAACGACTGCGAGCATGTCAGCAACAAGCACAGAACCCCCCACAGTTGGCACAAGCACTGCAGGCCCCAGGCCACAATTCGGGATCTGACTGCTTCCATGGGACGACGATGCCAGTCAGTTTTGGACTCTGACGGTGGCCATACACGAGATTGAGAACAGATGACCTTCACCTCGAACATGTACTGCTCCATATGTGTGCCATATGGAACCTGGGTCAATGATAATGTGCCAACTTTGAACAATCGATTACCATCTGTTGATATCTAAAATCATTTTTGTGGTTGTTTTTTTGCAGAGAATATATTTGTAACTGAAGAATGAACGTTTTTCTTTGTCACATCTAATATCGTCCATTTTCATATGAAATTATTTCATGTACTTGATATTCAAAAGACGTAGTGCTACTGTCATTTCTGGTTCTTTGTTAGATTTGTTTACCTTTAGAACGCGGATTTGTTACATGTGTGGAGTTATTAGGTCTTGCACTAAAATCCAATCCATGTATTATTGGTATTGACATTACGGGTGTACACAATGTTATTTTCCAGTACGCTGATATTTACATATCAACTGTGATAAAAACTATTGCCGTATGGATTGGATGAAAGAGAAATTCTGTACAACTATACCACATATACCTCTACGCTGGTCGAAAGAACCATTAACATTTCATGGAGTGCAAAATGTAAAACGAAAATAACGAATATATTATTTCTGGGGAATCCAATGCACTTTACCAATGAAGAATGACGCACAGCCTTATTTCTGATTACCAATACCAGGCACCATCTCCCGCCTATTTCTCTTCGAGGGGAAACAAATCTGTAGAAATTTACTGAACCAATGGAAGATAGTGAAAGGTGGATTCAGCTGAATTTGGTAAGAAAGCCGACCGAGACAGAATTCATTAGAACATAGTTTGCTTAAGTAAAATAATAAGGTAGGTACACAAAATATTGTACTATCGGAAAATGCAAAAGAAAGAAAAATCAAATACAGAACAAGTATAGCAAGGTGCGGCTCAGAACCAGTCAGGTCTGAAGCTGGGAATAATTACAGAATATCGAAATCACGATGACATTAACGACAACGGTAAGTTAAGGATAATTAGTATAATATATAAGTACATAATTATTTTTTATAACATTTCTCGAACACAGGTCAATGTCTTTTGCAAAACAAATAACATATGACACAAATGAAGTTGGAATTATTTTTACTAGCACTTTATTACTGTTGTGTGTCCATATAAATATTAGCTGCTCTTTGAGTGGCTATCCATGGCTATAATGCTGCAAATTTTATAGTATCAGAAAAGAAAGATTCATGTGCAGTTTTGCTGCCGTTAGAGAATGTTCAAAGGTAGTAGTTATAACTGCACAAGAAACTTGACTTTCTACGTAACATCTCGGAGGGCTAAGACTGGTCATCAGTGACGTTTGGCGAGCGTTGCATTTCAATGCTATGGCCCATAAAAGACCTCCAAGGAGATAGCATGGATATGGTCTGTGTCCCATCAGCCGATATGATGGCAGTCTTCCCATAACCTACACCCCAGCACGGCAGAATCAGGGAGCAGAGCGGGGAGTGCTGGTCGGCGATGGAGGGCGAGGCCTTCAGGTTGACAGTAGTTTTATTGCCTTCAATAGACACCAGGACAGTTGCGCGTCTGAAGGACCTGGTCATAATGTTCAGCTCATATGCTGAGTTGTTAGAAGTTATATCTACCCTCGAAATGTCCATGACAGGTGATGGGGCTAAGCCGTTCGAGTCGTCATTGCCCATCACAAACACTGGCTGGGCGTCAGGAGACTGATCAGGATAGAAGAGGGCACTTCCGTTCTGGTTGAAGATGAACTTAGGAAGCATCTGTGTATCTCCATCCTCTGTGCTAGACAGGATCAAAGACGTCATCTGCCTTCCGCTGCCTGATCCACGCATACGGACTCTCATCTTCGGGCCTTTACCCACTTCAACTCCGTCTAAGCTTGTAGTGTCAGATTTAGCCAAGTTTACAATTTTGACACCAAATCCAAATGTCGGGTTGATAAACGCCCATGGCAGAAGAGGTCCAAATGTTTTCTGAAGGTCAAATCTAAGGAAATGTAGGCCGAATGGCTCAGACGCATTTGTGAAATTCAATGTCATTTCAAAGTTTCCACTTCCTGCGGTAAGAAAGGGGAAGGTCCAGGTCTGCCAGATGAGAGATCTGGTGAATCGTTTTGGATAAAGGACAGCACTTTTGTTGTTCTCAGGGTCTGTAAACCGCGCAGATATGTAGGTGGGCTGATCCATGCAGCGGATGCCTACAGTGAAGATGCTGCTAATACTTCTGCCAAAGATGGTCTCCTGCATGGTGGAGTTCACGTTAAAAGCAAGGGTGAGATATTTGGTGTTAGCGGGGTCCACAATCACTGGGAACATTTTGTTCTTTTCGGTGCCATTTATGACAATGACATCCTCATCCAGTACATTGTCAATTTTTTCGCAGCTGCCTTCTCTCTCACCAGATTCCCACATTGGGTACACTTCTATCTGGTTGCTTGGGTCTTTCGTATCTCCCACAGAGGCACTCCGCCTCGATCGGTGTGTATGTTGGTCTTTGGACGACTTCCAGATAGACATGATGATTTCTGTCACCTCACTGGTAAAGATATCAAAGCGTGCCATGCCATTTGAGCACTGTACCTGGTTGTAGCGAATCATTGTAATGATCTCTCTCCGGGGACACTCAAACAGGTAGGATTCGTCATAGTTACTTGTGTTCCTGCTGCCTACAGTACCAGAAGTCGGTGCGTCGGGGGAGCCTATGTTGTGAATGGTGTTTCCATCCTTCCGTGCAGTACCATCACCACCATCAGTAGAGCTTGATGCATCGTAACCATTGTTTCCAGTATCTTTACCCTTACTATTGTTTCCAGTATCTCCATTGTTTTCATAGTTTCCCATTATTCTGTTGGTACCATTGTTTCCAGTGCCTCTTTCAATATCATTGTTTCCAGTGCCTCTTTTATGATCATTGTTTCCAGTACCTCTATTGTTATCATTGTTTCCGGTGGCCCTATTGTTATCATTGTTTTCAGTACCTCTATTGTTATCATTGTTTCCGGTGGCCCTATTGTTATCATTGTTTTCAGTACCTCCATTGTTGTCATTGTTTCCAGCACCTATATTTTTATCATTGTTTTCAGTTCTTCTATTGTTACCATTGTTTCCAGTGCCTCTTTCATTATTATTGTTTTCAGTACCTCTATTTCTACCATTCTTTCCAGTCTCTGTGTTTTTATAATTGTTTCCAGTACCTCTGTTATCATCGTTTTCATCTTCATTGTTTCCAATATTTCTATCGTTACCATTGTTTCCTGTGCCTATATCCTTATCAGTGTTGTTACTTATGTTTCTATTATTATTGATATTATTTGTATTGCTACCCCTGTTCCTGATATAACCATTATTCTTGTTGCGATTGTTGCTAATGCCTTCACTGTCTCCAGTACGTTGGTCGCTACCACTATTCTTGGTGTTGACAAGGTTGTTTATAATTCCATTGGTACTGTTTCCGGAGCCACTATCACCGTCATCGTTTTTATCATTACACTCGGAACCGTCACAGTTTTCAGTTTTTATGTCACTGTTGTTACATTCGTTGCCGTGGCAGTTTCCAGCACCGTCACCATTGCTTCCTCCGCCACAGACAGACCCACCACAGACAGACCCACTCATCCCGCTATCACCTTCATTGCTGCCATTGATTCTTTTGCTGTTGCCCCCTCGCTGTTGGTCTGTATTACCACCATCTGCATTACCATCGTTATGTTTCGTATGTCCGTGTGGGTTTCCGTTAGTATTTGATCCGCTGTTACAGTCATACCCTTTGCATTCATTGCCACGGTTATTGTTTGTCGAGTCCACGTTTCCACTTTCAGTGTTATTGCTGCCGCTGAGTTGACTGTTGTCGTAACTTCTGCCTGTACTTCCTCGGTCGCTACCTACACTTCCGTTGGTATCGGGATAGTCCTCGTCTTTCTTATCGCAGCCACTTTCCTCACAGTTGCTTCCATTGTCGTCACCGTTCTTGTCATTACAGTCGAAGCCGGTGCAGATACCACTGTTATTGTCGTTCCCGTTGTTGGTGTTGGTAGTTGAGTCAATAGCGTCACAGCTGCTGTTCTTGCAGTCTTGGTGCGTTGAAGTTGTGGTATATTCTGTATAATAAACAAGAAAAACCCTTGGTGTCAACATATATTTCATTCATGTAAACTAGGATGAATCTGTATGCATTCATGTCCTTCCACCCAACAGTATTCCCATGATTCACTCTCTACGTACACCCCCTTCCTCTTACCAGTACCACAGGGAATTATTCCCTTCGGCCATTCATAGCATATTGATCGCTCATATCACCATGATCATCATCTACTCAGAATCTACAAGTCCTACTATTAACATCTACAAATATAAAACGTGAATATAAAACATCAACGCCAGAGAACTTGCAGTCTCGATTATCCGAAGAAACCATTCCATTGGGCGTAAAAGGCAAAATATTAAAGAAGATATTGTTAACTATCAACAGTGTTCGTATGCATTTGCAGCTATGGTTTCTGGCTAGCTTGTGATCAATATTCGAGTGAGTAAAACCAGGACTGCCACATTGAAACCTGGTTTCTGGACAGCATGTATGTGATAATCTTAGGATCAATCTAAGCTTAGGGAGTAAAACCAAGGCTTGCCACACCGAAACCTCGTGTATGCATGTGTATAGAGTGACATATTTAAGGAGCGATTCATACCATTCTCACTCTCTCCCTGTCCACCGTTGGAGTAGCCGTTTGTAATGGATGACCTTTGTAAGCTTCTGGTGTAGCATTTCGACACACCGTTTCCGGGGCACAATATGTCAGCCAGCCTGTATTTCCCACCAAAGACCAACGAAATCTCGTCCAGTTCGACGCCATAATCATCCGCCTCCACAACGGTCAATGTTAGGACGTGGCTTCCTGCAGCCAGACTCACAGGAAGACCGATGGGGCCTGTATCGGCGAATATATTCCAGTAGCTCCCGAAGGAGGTCTCATAGGACGAGTTAAAGCTGCTAATGATGTTCTCGTCGATGTCTACAGCGACAATGTCCGACTCGCCGTCGTTTGAGAACTTGACGTTGCTGACGGTGAGCGTGTCCTCCTCTGGCAAACATATCCCGATGGAGATACACTCCCCGGAGAACAGCCACACGGTCCGCTCGTTACTTGCTTTGGAACGGGGGAACACTCGATTGGTATCGATGTTGCTGTGCTTTGCAAAGTCATCAATTTGGAAATTAATGACAGATGCAGCTGCAAAAGCCACACAAACAGCAAAGACGCTCGCTTTGAAACTATCTTCTCTTCTAGACGTCATTCTCAAAGTCTGATGGGCAAGGAAGTGAAGGTTGGTTTTAAAGGTTCGTTAGCACTCCTAGTGCACATAACTTGTGAGCGGCCTGGGAAAGAAAAAACAGCATGCAGAGGGGTCGTCTCCACAGGATTAGGAGCACCGAAACAAAAGAGGAACGCAATTAAGATTCTGGGCAGTTTCTCTCATTAACATTCAAAACCCAGACGTGACACCACGTAGCAACGCACAGTGGAGCTGACTATACCGAGTGTATAAAGGCAGTAGACTAGTAAGCTAGTAGGCAATGATAAGCTGAGGCGGTGTTTGGCATGGTAATACGTTTAATAGAAAATGTCTTTAAGGCGTCAAGTTTGACAGAACCATGCATAAATGCCGAATATTTTGACTTTAAATAATATTAAGAAGACAATTTGATACAATGAACTATTGACACCTACCCGTAATTAAAAAAATATGTGTTTAAAAAAGAGCCGGTTGCCACCTCGAGGATAATGCCGAAAATAGTGTTTACCCTGCCAGTTCACACCTGCCCTTTAATACCCACACAGCCCTCGGAATCTCCGTTTAGCCCCCACCCACCCGACCTCTGCTACATAGCTCTACTGTTCTGTTGGCACACAGGTCTTCGCGCCCAGCCGACACATTCTAGTGGCAACGAACACTTCACAAAGTACCGCAAGAGCATTTTGTCACTGCAAATTTTACCTGAAAGAAGATTAAAGGCAGACGCCAAAAATTTCTACATATATATCTGTGGACGTTTGAGGTCGCCTTAAAGACAAATAGTGATGTGCACGGTGCAGCTGGGGAGACGTGTGCTGACATATGCACTGTCAGAGCTAGGTGATGGACTCCACTATTTCTCCAAGGCCTCAACCGCTTCGAACCTCTACCGAATTGTTATTGTCGGAATATTTCCGAAAGAATATTTAGGCTCTCAAAAACAAAATTGGATTTTTGGGGGATCAAATAGATGTTGTTGTTTAACGCCGGACTCTATATGACAGCGGTCTGTAAATAATGGAGTCTGGACCAGGAAATCCAGTGATTGACATTATGAGCATCACCACGCAATTTGGACACGATGACAAGCATCAACCAAGTCAGCAAGCCTGACCACCCGATCCCGTTAGTCGCCTTTTACGACAAGCATCGTCGCCTTTTATGACAAGCATGGGCTGCTGAATACCTATTTTACTCCGGATCTTCAGTTACAGTGGTGAATTTGAACCGAATTCAACTTGTAGATATACTTGCCATATTTAGGTGCATATACATTGCAAAGCTAACCTTATTCGGGAAATACAAATGAGAATGGTTCTGATTAGTGCTATCCTCAATAACTGACACGCATTTAGGTAAATAGAATTGCCACATATTCTTAGGTTATTCTTATGAGCATGGTAATGTCAGTAGGACTGATGGATAGTTACGATCGGAGCTAGTGCACAGTAAAACCCTAAACCTTAATATTAACAATGCTATGTCCAAATGAACCTTTGTAGAAACTGTGTAAAGCAGAGTTACAGATCGCGCTATTTGGCGGTCATCCTGCAGTTTTCGTTCATAAAGTAACCAAAAAAAATACAGCAGAAAGATGCAAATGGTCACGCTTGTTAACACCAAATATTAAACTTTAAACAAACAATTTGAGCAAACCAAAACTAATTACTTTATTTGACAAATTAAACTGGTAACAGCTTCGTGCTGTTATGGACAAATCATAAGCTGATTGCCACCTTCTCACAATGCACAGTTTTAAAAGGACTCGAAAAACAAGATGAAAACTTTCAACCAACTATTTCATGTTTAGTGAAAATCATTTGACAACCACCGGGGGAGGCCACAACAACCCGTACCAGCTGGTTGGACGCTTGTAGACGCACCCAGAAATGACGCACCAAGTTAAGTCAAGTTATCATGTTTGTGTAGTTTAAGGACGTGTAAACGCAATATGGCACATGCTATTAAAGCGTGTTAAAGACCAGAAGTAGCATCAGTTGTCCTGTAGCTTTAGCTGGTGCCAGGAATCCTGGGGGATATTCCACCTGGCTTAGCCTCTCAGTACCATATGCCTGTGTAACCAACTCTCCCCCACACACCACAGTGAGAAGAGTGTGTCCACACTGTGGAGGATTATTGTATTACTTTAGTGGAAAGCTCCACATAGGCTAAAATAGCCCATGGAATAGACGGGAGCGGTACCTCAGGTCGACTACCATCACATTAGTTAAGACAAACGGATGTGTTACCAAGAATTGGTTATGGTCATTGTGTAATTAAGAACTGACTGTAAATGTTTGTTTTCTTTTAACCTCCAACTCAGTAATATTCCAGATCTAAGACGGCGGTCAGTAAGTAATCTGGTCTGAACCAGACAATCCACTGATTTACATCATGAGCATCGATCCACTTAATCTGGTATACGATGACATGCATCAACCAAGTAAGCGAGCCTGACCACCTGATTCCGATGGTCTCCTCTTAGGGCAAACGTGTGCAGTGATGAAATTGTGCCTGCAGTGAAGTTGTCCAGTGTTTGGATAAAGTTGTCCTGTGTGTGCTGTGATGAAGTTGTCCTGTGTGTGCTGTGATGAAGTTGTCCTGTGTGTGCTGTGATAAAGTTGTCCTGTGTGTGCTGTGATAAAGTTGTCCTGTGTGTGCAGTGACGAAGTTGTCCTGTTTGTGTCGTGATGAAGTTGTCCTGTTTGTGTCGTGATAAAGTTGTCCTGTGTGTGCTGTGATAAAGTTGTCCTGTGTGTTCTGTGATAAAGTTGTCCTGTGTGTGCAATGATGAAATTGTCCTGTGTGTACTGTGATGAAGTTGTCCTGTGTGTGCAGTGCTGAAGTTGTCCTGTGTGTGCTGTGATAAAGTTGTCCAGTGCGTGCTGTGATGAAGTTGTCCTGTGTGTGCTGTGATGATATTGTCCTGTGTGTGCTGTGATGAAGTTGTCCTGTGTGTGCCGTGATAAAGTTGTCCTGCGTGTGCTGTGATGAAGTTGTCATGTGTGTGCCGTGATAAAGTTGTCCTGCGTGTGCTGTGATGATGTTGTCCTGTGTGTGCTGTGATAAAGTTGTCCTGCGTGTGCTGTGATGATGTTGTCCTGTGTGTGCCGTGATAAAGTTGTCCTGCGTGTGCTGTGATGATGTTGTCCTGTGTGTGCTGTGATGAAGTTGTCATGTGTGTGCTGTGATAAAGTTGTCCTGTGTGTGCCGTGATGATGTTGTCCTGTGTGTGCTGTGATAAAGTTGTCCTGCGTGTGCTGTGATGATGTTGTCCTGTGTGTGCTGTGATAAAGTTGTCCAATGTGTTCCGTGATAAAGTTGTCGTGCGTGTGCTGTGATGATGTTGTCCTGTGTGTGCTGTGATAAAGTTGTCCTGCGTGTGCTGTGATGATGTTGTCCTGCCTGTGCTGTGATGATGTTGTCCTGTGTGTTCTGTGATAAAGTTGTCCTGTGTGTGCAATGATGAAATTGTCCTGTGTGTGCTGTGATGAAGTTGTCCTGTGTGTGCAGTGATGAAATTGCCCTTCGTGTGCTGTGATAAAGTTGTCCAGTGCGTGCTGTGATGATGTTGTCCTGTGTGTGCAGTGATGAAGTTGTCCTGTGTGTGCCGTGATAAAGTTGTCCTGTTTGTGCCATGATAAAGTTGTCCTGTGTGTGCTGTGATGAAGTTGTCCTGTGTGAGTCGTGATGAAGTTGTCCTGTGTGTGCCGTGATGAAGTTGTCCTGTTTGTGCTGTGATAAAGTTGTCCTGTTTGTGCCATGATGAAGTTGTCCTGTGTGTGCTGTGATGAAGTTGTCCTGTTTGTGCCATGATGAAGTTGTCCTGTGTGTGCTGTGATGAAGTTGTCCTGTTTGTGCCATGATAAAGTTGTCCTGTTTGTGCCATGATGAAGTTGTCCTGTGTGTGCCATGATAAAGTTGTCCTGCGTGTGCTGTGATGATGTTGTCCTGTGTGAGCCGTGATGAAGTTGTCCTGCGTGTGCTGTGATGAAGTTGTCCTGTGTGTGCCGTGATGAAGTTGTCCTGCGTGTGCTGTGATAAAGTTGTCCTGCGTGTGCTGTGATGAAGTTGTCCTGTGTGTGCTGTGATAAAGTTGTCCTGCGTGTGCTGTGATAAAGTTGTCCTGCGTGTGCTATGATGAAGTTGTCGTGCGTGAGCCATGATAAAGTTGTCCTGCATGTGCTATGATGAAGTTGTCCTGTGTGTGCTGTGATGAAGTTGTCCTGTGTGTGCTGTGATGATGTTGTCCTGTGTGTGATATGATGAAGTTGTCCTGCGTGTGCTGTGATGAAGTTGTCCTGTGTGTGCTGTGATGAAGTTGTCCTGCGTGTGCTATGATGAAGTTGTCCTGTGTGTGCTATGATGAAGTTGTCCTGTGTGTGCTGTGATGAAGTTGTCCTGCGTGTGCTATGATGAAGTTGTCCTATGTGTGCTGTGATGATGTTGTCCTGTGTGTGATATGATGAAGTTGTCCTGCGTGTGCTGTGATGATGTTGTCCTGTGTGAGCCGTGATGAAGTTGTCCTGCGTGTGCTGTGATGAAGTTGTCCTGTGTGTGCCGTGATGAAGTTGTCCTGCGTGTGCTGTGATAAAGTTGTCCTGCGTGTGCTGTGATGAAGTTGTCCTGCGTGTGCTATGATGAAGTTGTCGTGCGTGAGCCATGATAAAGTTGTCCTGCATGTGCTATGATGAAGTTGTCCTGTGTGTGCTGTGATGATGTTGTCCTGTGTGTGATATGATGAAGTTGTCCTGCGTGTGCTGTGATGAAGTTGTCCTGTGTGTGCTGTGATAAAGTTGTCCTGCGTGTGCTGTGATAAAGTTGTCCTGCGTGTGCTATGATGAAGTTGTCGTGCGTGAGCCATGATAAAGTTGTCCTGCATGTGCTATGATGAAGTTGTCCTGTGTGTGCTGTGATGAAGATGTCCTGTGTGTGCTGTGATGATGTTGTCCTGTGTGTGATATGATGAAGTTGTCCTGCGTGTGCTGTGATGAAGTTGTCCTGTGTGTGCTGTGATAAAGTTGTCCTGCGTGTGCTATGATGAAGTTGTCGTGCGTGAGCCATGATAAAGTTGTCCTGCATGTGCTATGATGAAGTTGTCCTGTGTGTGCTGTGATGAAGTTGTCCTGCGTGTGCTATGATGAAGTTGTCCTGTGTGTGCTGTGATGATGTTGTCCTGTGTGTGATATGATGAAGTTGTCCTGTGTGTGCTGTGATGAAGTTGTCCCTAGGGAGCACGGTTGTCTGTGTATTTTATGCAGGTCAACCCTTTGTGAGTGGAGCATACCTATAAAGGTCACCCTGTGAGAGATTACCTGGAGGGTCGGGGAAATCTCAGCATGTAATTGTAAACCAAACGAGACGCAAGATTGGGGAATGTGTGGTATGGTGAACGTATATGGATGCAAATTAAGTCAGTGACATTTGCTGCAGTGCTGCACCACAGAGGTGCAAATGTGTAGCTGAATGCCTCCTGTACTACCACAGCATAATTAACACAGAACATCGTGCCTGCCACGGTCAGATAACTTGGAGCATAATCTGTAGATACTGATCTGTGCAAAACACAGTTCATCGAATTATGCTCAGTCCATCAGTTGTTAGTCAAATACAGAGACATGTATGAGTGTGATGATGAATTTACAAAACAAGTGCCATATAGTTTCATTTCATTTGCAAGAGCATGGCAACAAATATGATCCGGGTACTTCTAATAAATGTATTTTTCGTCTTATCCATAGTGAAGGACTACTGTTTTTGTATTGAGAACACAAGCCACGTGATCTTATCAACAGAGTGTGATGTAATCATCAGTTGTTAATCATCTAATATTGATGCCAGTTGTACTATGTCAACAAGGCTTTAATGTGTAATTGTTGTCACATAGAAATGTTTGTTTTCACGAAATAAAAATATATCAGTATGATACACACAGAGGGAATAATTTCGTAAATGTACTGTAGAATAGTAATCAGTCAACAGAAAGTGTAAATGAAACTAATCTAATTAATTTTACAAAATGTTAAATAGTTAATAGGTTAAAGACATTTATGGCTATGGTAGGTACTGAGACTTATTTTGTTCAAATTTGATATTGAGCGTCAATAAAGTTACCATAACTTGTATGATGGGATTCAAACCATCTGACCCCAGATTGGACACTTTGTCCACATGAGTTGGGTTTAATGCATGACCAGAGATGTTAACCAAAGAGGCTGACATGGTAAGGATGTTAACTGTAGGGTAAGTGCTTGTGGCTGCTTGTACTACTCCGTACTATTGCAGTTTTTATAGTGAAAGCTGAGATACAATATGCCACAACTTAACCCAGATACTGCACAGACACAGTACACTGGCTCCGAGCCAAACAGTCCTTGTTTTCATCGCCTTAGTGCCAAACGCCAGGCAGGTTAACAACAAGTATAATGTCTTTATTGTCTTTTGGTATTCGACCGAGCATCAAAATGATGCATGGCGAGTGTGACATGGAGAGCCAGATATGTCTGGTGAGTGTGATATGGAGAGACTGGTAATGCATGGTGAGTGTGACACGGAGAGACTGATAATGCATGGTGAGTGTGATACGGAGAGACTGATAATGCATGGTGAGCGTGACATGGAGAGAATGATGATGCATAACGATTGTGCCATGGAGAGACAGGTCATGCATGGTGAGTGTGACATGGAGAGACTGATGATGCATGGTGAGTGTGACATGGAGAGACTGATGATGCATGGTGAGTGTGACATGGATAGACTGGTAATGCATGGTGAGCGTGACATGGAGAGACTGATGATGCATGGTGAGTGTGACATGGGGAGACTGATAATGCATGGTTAGTGTGACATGGAGAGACTGATAATGCATGGAGAGTGTGACATGGAGAGATTGATAATCCATGGAGAGTGTGATATGGGTGAGGTGAGGTGAGGTGAGGTGAGGTGAGGTGAAATGGGGTTTAACGTTGCGGCCAAGGTTATTGCACTTATATAGTGACGTGCATGCATGTGTATGTGTGTGTGTGGCTGCTTGTACTTGTCCAGACTGATGCCGATTTATAGTGCTAGCACACTGAGATGCCATGCCGCAGTTTAACATGAATACCCCGCTCAGACACAGTATACTGACTCCGAGCCGACCAGTCCTTGTGTTAGCCCCTTAATGCCAAGCACCAGACAAGGTAACAACAAGTACCATCTTTTATCGTCTTTTGGTATGATGCGGCTGGGGATCGAACCCCGGACCTTCCTGCTCTCCAGGCGGACGCTCTACCATTACACCACGGAGGCGATCCGAGTGTGATATGGAGACTGATGATTCATGGTGAGTGTGATATGAAGAGACTGATGATTCATGGTGAGCGAAACATGGACAGACTGATAATGCATGGAGAGGTTGACATGGAGAGACTGATGATGCATGGTGAGTGTGACATGGAGACTGATGATGCATGGTAAGTGTGACATGGAGAGACTGATAATGCATGGAGAGTGTGACATGGAGAGACTGATGATGCATGGTGAGTGTGACATGGAGAGACTGATGATGCATGGTGAGTGTGACATGGAGAGACTTATGATGCATGGTGAGTGTGACATGGAGAGACTGATGATGCATGGAGAGTGTGATATGGAGAGACTGTTGATGCATGACGAGTGTCACATGGAGAGACTGATGATGCATGGTGAGTGTGACTTGGAGAGACTGATGATGCATTGAGAGTGTGATATGGAGAGACTGATGAAGTATGGTGAGTGTGATATGGAGAGACTGATGATGCATGGAGAGTGTGATATGGAGAGACTGGTCATGCATAGTGAGTGTGATATGGAGAGACTGATGATGCATGGAGAGTGTGACATGGAGAGACTGATGATGCATGGAGAGTGTGATATGGAGAGACTGATGATGCATGGAGAGTGATATGGAGAGACTGATGAAGTATGGTGAGTGTGACATGGAGAGACTGATGATGCATGACGAGTGTGACATGGAGAGACTGATGATGCATGGAGAGTGATATGGAGAGACTGATGATGTATGGTGAGTGTGACATGGAGAGACTGATGATGCATGACGACTGTGACATGGAGAGACAGATGATGCATGACGACTGTGACATGGAGAGACTGATGATGCATGGCGTGTGTCACATGGAGAGACTGATGATGCATGGTGAGTGTGACATGGAGAGGTGAGGTGAAATGGGGTTTAATGTTGCATCCAGATGTGCATGCACAAGTGTGTGCGTCCTGACTGATGCCGATTTGTAGTGCTAGCACATTGAGATACCATGATGCAGTTTAACATGAATACCCCACTCAAACACAGTATACTGACTCCGAGCCAACCAGTCCTTGTTTTCGCCTCTTAATGTCGAGTGCCAGGCAAGGTAACAACAAGTACCATCTTTTAACGTCTTTTGGTATGACGCAGCCAGGGGTCGAACCCCAGTCACATGGACAGACGGATGATGCATGGTGAGTGTGACATGGACTTGTGTGAAATTTACACAGATTGATGATATCCTTGTACAAGTTGACATTATTTCGATGAAAGCTGTCTCTGGAAGTAGATCAAAGTACCCACAAGAACATGTAAGACAAAGTTAATGTCAGTGACAAAAAACAAATACCTTAGGGATTACATCTCTTAGCATTATTTTAATTTCTACACATATCGTCAAAGAGATGCACAGTTCTTGGACTTCCAAGTCCCAAAGTAGGAAAACATCATCATTCCTGCTGCATTTGACTGAATTTAGCTGAACTCTTTGTGTCCCATTCTCCTCTCCAGTGGTCCACACTCTTGATCTGACACCGCTGCCGAGCACATTATCAAGTAGTTATGCTGAATATATAATGATAGTCTGGGTAATGCTGTACTCAATCAAAGTGTTCAATTACAGCCGTATACAACATGGTACAGGTCTCGGATAATACCAATGTCGATTCATCACACACACACACGTTATCACTGCCATGACAGCTCAACTATCAGTGAAGTTTGGCGGCCTCTTCTCCACAAATGCTGACATACCCTCTTTCCTGTCATTCTGAAAGTATCAAGACATTGGTGTACATATAACGATAGTCTAGGTAAAGGTGTATTTCTGCAACATCAATGTTAATACAGTATCACAACAAAGTGTTTAATTACAGTCATAACCAAACAATTCTGACGTGTGAACTCACAGTGGCAAATGAAGCATGGAAAATTCTCTTCTCAAAGTGGAGGCCTTCTCTCAAAGTCATCTCATTGGCTAGAAACAAAATGAAAAAAACCCATACAATTTCAAGAGTAACAAAGCCAGAGTCCTGATGCTCTGTACATCACCTGATGGTTCTTATCATAAAGGTCAAGGCCTGTATCATTCACCTGGATATTTACGCAATCATGACAAAATATACATTTGCATTGTACACGTATATAATACTGCAAATATTTCGTAATTTTGACTCGTCCTTGTAAAAGGGGTGGAGAGCAAATCTGACAACATGAAGGTGTACTTCAATGTAGCAAAAAGATCTGAACTGTTTCCATGTTATGATCCAGGCAAATTACCCTTTTCAGTACCGCCCCTCAGTCCCTGTGGGGTTGCGGTATTGTTCAGTCCCACCATTTCTCCGATTTGAAGACCATTGGAGAATGCTTCCAACCAAATATGGTAAATATCTATCCCTTAGTTCCAGAGAAGAAATAGCTTAAAGCAATAACGCCAAATTACCCCTATTTGGCCCTGCCCATCAGTGCCCTGGGGGGTCAGCGCTACCATTTGTACAATTTTTAATCCCCACCACCAAGGGATGCTTCAAGTCAAATTTCGTTAATTTCCAATTTGTGGTTCAGAAGAAGAAGTCGTTTGAAAAAATATTTGACGTACGGTGACAGATTACGGCCTGAGGACGGACGCCACGGTATGGCTTAAGCTCCTTGTCCTTTGAACCTAACAAGGTCCTTAAGCAAAACATGCAATAACCATTACATAACATTTACACAACAGACATAAAATCACTGTTGCTCACTTGGTACTTTCTAAGTCTGATAAATTTTCTATTTGAAATCTCTAGATTCAATCCGCTGGCAGACCATGGCAAACACCTCGGAATGAAACTTCCTTTCTGTGGGAGCCACAATGTCCAGTCTGGACAGCAAATCCGCTTGCACATTCCAGCAAAATGGAATATGTTGAACTAGGAACAGCAGATTCAGATGGTCTTACAGTAGGAGGAAGTGGAACATTGGCAACAACAGAGAGGAGTGGAGAGTCTCCTGATTTTGAAAACACCACAACGCGGAGTAGTATAGGTAATGGGGATTCCGGCTCACTTCCACTGGAGCCAGATTTATATATCTATACCACTACTACAGAGGGAATTTTTTATGCAAAAATGATGATGCAATTCAACGATCGTCATGACATTAAACTACATTGTAATGAAAATATTCTCTATTATTTTTCCCATACATATACCATTATTTTTCACAAAGTGATATTCAACATTTTTACTTAGTTCTTCGTTCATTTTACTAGGAGACCAGACTATATACTCTTCTTGATAATTGGAAAGAAACAATTTATGACCGTATTTGGTTGGTTTGACATCACTGATATAATATATACCTTGTGGTAATTCTCTCCATTTGATAATTTTGTCCCTGAGCATAAATGCTTCGATAGCTTTTTCGAGTTCTTCCTTTGTTGGTTTGTAATTCTTCATTATCATATACTTATGTAAGCATTTGTTTAAATGTGATCCAACAATAGTAAGCAATCTATTTTTAATCTCCAACAAGTTCTTTGGTTTTGGCACGGAAAAATTGACGCGCTTGTTGTCTCCCCTGTTCTTCGCTAATACCACTGGTCTTACGAGAATTTGATCGAATCTCCTGCTTCATTGCGTTGTATTTGGTGTGTTCTGAGAGCACTAAACGAAACTCCTCCTCGGATATCTTACAATCAGCCATTGCTGTTGAAATATGGTCCTCAATGCTGTTCAACTTTGCTTCGGCGAGTATCCGAATATTATCATGTTTTAATGTTTTCTTTTGCAACTTACGAGAAATGAAATTTAGCATTATTCCTGCCAGTCCTGAGACTCCAGCCGCTATTTCCATGCCAAGTACGATAGGCGCGGCGATTATAGTTGATAATAAACCAACAACGGCTACACCGAGTCCCATGCCAGCTGTTACAAGCGCGGTGTCAACTCCGTCGAGAGCATTCACAGCTCTGAGATACTTTTTATATAATCCAAGTCTCAACTCCCTCTCCTTCTCTATTTGATGTTTTATGTAGCTTATTTGATGTAATCGAAATCCATCAACAGTATTCATCTTTTCAGATGCTTTATCGAGCGCCGGATATAAACCTATAATGTATACTAGCCACATAAAGAAACTGTGCACGGAGAAAATATATTCTGGATTGAAATACAACACAGCAAGAACAAAATGATGCAGATGCTGTAGCAGCTGAATGATCGGACCATAAGAAAATGTCAACGGGACCTGAACAACATCTGTTACGATGACGTCAGAAGATCAAAATGGAGTAGGGGGTCATACGACAAAGTCACAAAGTCAATAACGGGTATGACCACCCTGTGCGTGAATCACAGCAGTGCATCGGCAACGCGTGGAGTCCTCCAAATGGGCATGGAAGGTCTGGGGAATGGCCTGCCATATCCTCCTTAAATCCTGTGCCAAGTCACGGACGTTATCTGGAGGATGTGGAAGACGACGCAGACGGCGCTCCATTTCATCCCACACATGCTCTATTGGGGAGAGATCTGGAGAAACTGCAGTAACATGACATTGTTATGGTGAAGGAAATCCATTGCGACCCTAGCCGTGTGAGGACGAGCATTGTCCTGTTGAAATGTCAATCCCGGGCCATGACGTTGCAGGAAAGGAATGACCACAGGCCTCAGAATCTGATCTCTGTAGCCAACACCGGTGAGATTGCCCTGAACAACCACCAAAGGGGTTCGGTGCCGTGCTGTTATCCCACCCCAAATCATCACAGAGCCACCTCCAAAACGATTCCTCTCCACAATACAGTTGCATGCATAACGTTCTCCCAAACGCCGGTAGACACGTTGGCGCCCGTCACTGTGGGAAATGTTGAACCTCGATTCATCTGTAAAGACAACATTTCTCCACCATATTCGAGGTTGGCGAACATGATTTCAACACCATCTTAGACGGTTGACTCGATGACAATGTGTCAGGATGGGACGTATGGCAGGGCGTCATGGTCGAATCCCGTACTGACGTAAACAATTCCTGACAGTGTTGGGATGGATACGGCGTAGTCCAGGAATTGTCTGGGACGTCGTTACCTGTGTCGGAGATGTGTAACTCGAATCCATCTGTCCTGTCTTGGCATGGTTACTCGGGGACGTCCTGAACGTGGGTGGTCAGCAAGGTCATTTGTGTTCTGATAACGCCTCACCAATGCCGATATCGTGTTATGATGGCATTGGAAATGTGTTGCCACCTGTTGTTGCCTCATTCCCGCTCGGATCATTCCAATGGCTTCATGACGCTGTGCAGCTGTCAATCTTGGCATGATTTGCTTGTGATATGCTTGTGTCTGTGCTTGAGAAGTTTTGAATTTTTGAATGACCACAGATCATGCTTTCCAAAGTGACAGCGAATTTTGAGTTGCACATGCTGTCTACAGCTGCACAGGAAACACGTGCAGTAACACATTGCATGTCCATAGGCCCCCATCAATGACGTCATATCGCATGGTACGTGCATGAGCGTTTGAATGTCTCCAATAATTGCTGTGTTCAAACCTATATTTCATATATGGACGGTGTGCCCTTATATCTATATTTTCTCCGTGCACAGTTTCTTAATGTGGCTAGTATATATTATTATATCATATAATAGTCTTTAATTGGTCTTGCTTCAATGTTTTGAGAGTATACATCAACCTAATTAAATGTATATTATACGGCATAAATATCTTAGTAAGAGAAATGCTATCACGTTTGATAATTTGGACCCCCTCAAGGGTTGCAACGGGTGATGCTCCTACATAAATAATACTGCAACGTCGACGCTCGTGTTGCTTGAGCCATTTAATTGATAGACCTGGTAATATTTCGAAGGCATCTTCTGGTGCATCTCCAAACAAGACTTCAATAATAAGCATAGAAAGATCAGGTATTGCACTCAAGTTCTGTTTTATATCATTGAATTCAGTAACCAAATTTAAACTAACATTTTTTTATGCCGAACGACTCAATAACATATGACCTGGGTTTTCTGGCAGGGGAGAGACTAACACACTTTTTCGTTTTGATGGGAAATAAGCCCCGAGTACGATCCCACTATTTATTATCTTAGTTAAATTATGTGCCTTACCCATCATCACATAAGGTGGGTTAATGATGATATTCAGTAGCCACTCGATTTTTGCTTCAATCTTAGTCCATTTATTATCATCGTTGCGAGCAAGATTGTATGAACTGTTTTTTTTAGTCTACTAATGTCGACATCGCTTAAATCTCCTAGATTACCTGTGAATGCAACTTCTTTCCGCTTGTATACATTATCTTGTAAGTGTAAAGTGTATAACTTTCCATCGGTACCGGGTTTACCGAATCCTTCTGTGTCTCCGAGATTGGAAAGCGCAATTGTATTACATTGTCTGAGTGTTCCAGGGCCTGATGAATCAAATCGCGTTAATTTTGTTCGTGGAAATTGTCAACTGGGTGTTTTGAAGGACGGGCTGCTAATGCGTGACCGCCAGAATGAGCGCTTCTAATTCTAGATTGTTGCTGTGCCAGTGACACTGTTCTCCTTACTACAGCCCTGAGGTCGTCTGAGCCTCCAGATGAACTTCCCATCCTTGTTTTGAGGCATCTACAAACAGATGTAGCACTGGTTTTAGCATAGTCAAGGAGATGCAGCTAAAGACTCCACTGTCCACCAATGAAGGTAAGTGTTACCGTAGGTGTCACGTACAATACCCTCCTACCTCGGCCACTTATTCTCAAGATGCCTTGGTTCCGGGGAAGATGAAGCTCTCTCAAAGTACAAGTCAGATTTGTTGCTCAAGTCCATTTATCAGAGACGAAATTCTTGAATTGAATTGTTTGATGTGTTTCTGTAGCCATGGAAATGCCAAATGGGAGGACTGCACACTGGTAATGGATACCATTGAAGAAGAACCTGAGGCACTGCCTGTCGCTGGGTTGGATGGGCACACCGAGAGGCACATCCTTGATGTCGAGGCTTATCAGGGAATCATTGGTGTTGATTCTGGTCCTGAACAGCCTCAACGTGGACATTCTGAAGTAGGTGGACGTTCCAGGTAGCGCCAATTGAAAATGGCAAGATTGTGTATCATGCGAAGTTTGTCTAAATGCTTTTTGGGACAAGAAACACAATCTCAATGGCCTCCTTGGCGGGGGAAGCTGGTGACATACGGGTTCTACAGGGCGGCCAAATTTTGCCTATTCTCACACCTACGGCTGAGTCAGTGACTAGAATGACTGGGGTGGGAGGTTCAAGTCATTGTTGTCCAACAGTTAGGTGCTTCCCTTCAGATCGGCACCTACGATGCTGGAGGAACTTGTTCACGTCTGGTCCCGGAGACGTTTCTGCAGAAGCCAACCTATCCGCTATCCATTTGGGAACTTGAGTCAAAGCAAGATGTCCAAGTCCGAAAAGGGAGGGTCATAGGGTCATTCATTCCTATGGACAGGTGAACTGCTCCGAGAGCGGTGACGTGACGATTTCGAGCTATGCTGGAGGAGCTGAACCACAAGACAATCTTGCATGAGTAGAGGGTGTAGGGTCTCTGTCCACGAGAGGCAATGATGAAAGCAACTACTGATGAGTCATCACCAACTGAGAAGACGTGACAATCAGCTGAGGTAATGTCGTCTGAGGTGTTGCTGTAGAAAGGCACAAACCATAAACAACAACACAATAGCAAGAAAAACAGTGTATAAATAACAAGCAAAGGATGCTGAAAAACTGCAGAAGCTATATTCTCACAAACAATGTTACATGACTGTGTTGACTGACAAAGCAGTAATGTGCTCTTATGTGACGTCACCACATTCAGGTCATGTGGAGGCTGTGTGAGGGTATTGCTACACCACTGGTTCGAACAACTTCTTCTGCAGCTGGGCCTCTGACAGCTTAGTCTTTCTGTAAAAAAACCCAGCAGTAAATGCATTAAGGAGTAATGCAAGATAAGTTGATAAGTTAATGGTTTGACACATTATAAAGTCTCAACTCTTGTGGCCTTGTCGATTCGAATATTTTCAAAGTTTGAATTTCTACATGTTGAATCTATTCAAAATAATTCTCTCAGAGATATGATCAGTATTGAGAGTGATTTTGGAGAATCATGATATCTCACCTGCATTGACAGCCTCTTTACATATTCCAACAACAATCTCACCTGCATTGACAGCCTCTTTACATATTCCAACAACAATCTCACCTGCATTGACAGCCTCTTTACATATTCCAACAACAATCTGACCTGCATTGACAGCCTCTTTACATATTCCAACAACATTCTGACCTGCACTGACAGCCTCTTTATGTATTCTAACAACAATCTGACCTGCATTGACAGCCTCTTTACATATTCCAACAACAATCTGACCTGCATTGACAGCCTCTTTACATATTCCAACAACAATCTGACCTGCATTGACAGCCTCTTTACATATTCCAACAACAATCTGACCTGCACTGACAGCCTCTTTATGTATTCTAACAACAATCTGACCTGCATTGACAGCCTCTTTACATATTCCAACAACAATCTCACCTGCACTGACAGCCTCTTTACATATTCTAACAACAATCTGACCTGCACTGACAGCCTCTTTACATATTCTAACAACAATCTGACCTGCACTGACAGCCTCTTTACATATTCTAACAACAATCTGACCTGCATTGACAGCCTCTTTACATATTCCAACAACAATCTCACCTGCACTGACAGCCTCTTTACATATTCCAACAAGAATTCCTCCTGCATTGACAGCCAATTTACATATTCCAACAACAATTTGACCTGCACTGACAGCCTCTTTACATATTCCAACAAGAATTCCTCCTGCATTGACAGCCAATTTACATATTCCAACAACAATCTCACCTGCATTGACAGCCTCTTTACACATGCCAACAATGATCTTGGAGAAGCCTGATATCTTCTCAGCTGTTTTCACTGCCTCTGCTACCAGCTGGTCGGGGGGAAACACTTTACTCACAAGGCCTGTATGGTTTACAAAGAAACATTGTCATATTTCATGATGGTTCACAAATATACTTTTTGTTTGTTTGTTTGTTATTTAACGCCGCAGTCAGCAATATTCCAGCTATATGAGTCTGGACCAGATAATTCAGTGATTGACATCATGCACATCGGTCCATGCAATTGGGATCGATGACATGCATCAACCAAGTCAGCGAGCCTGACCACCCAATCCCGTTAGTCGCCTCTTACGACAAGCATAGTCGCCTTTTATGGCAAGCATGGGTTGCTGAAGACCTACTCTACCCCGGATCTTCCTGGGTCAATATACGTTTCAATGAAAAGTAGGACAATATGCTGCTATATACATGTGCAGGTCCACTGAGTGACCTCCCAGTGCATTGTGGTCACCTCACCTGCTTGCTCTGCCTCCTGAGCCGACATCATGTTCCCAGTCAACACCATCTCCATTGCCTTTGACTTTCCGATAGCTCGGATTAAGCGTTGTGTGCCACCCGCTCCTACAACACATAGAGGTTGCACAGCATCACCACCTAAACAATGCACTTGTTCTTAATCCTTACACATCAGACAACATTCTCAACAGGTAAGGTTAACAACTGTAAATGGCAAATGTTGCCTGTATCCTCAAAGTCAACATTTCATGATCAGTAGGAACCGTGGGAAACAGTGCTCAGTGCATCATTGTAGGTCTCTAAGGCTTAAAAAATCAAAAGAATTGGTTCTGAGGCAATGGCTTTTGAAAAATAGTGTTGTTGTTCAAGCTAGAATGTAACCAAATTTTGCAGAATATTTAAAGAGTGAGTGAGTTGGGTTTAACGCCGCTTTTAACTGTTATTTCAGTTATATCGCGGCGTGTCAGCTTAATGTGGGAGGAAAGCCTGAAATGATGCAGGTCTCAGACGTTTACCACTTCTGTGAAACCCACGAGCACGGGTATGGTGCTGACAAACCTAGAAACAAAATCGGGAGGAGAACCGGGATTCGAACCCACAATCATAGGTTTCTGGCGTGCCCAAGGGACGCAACTCTGCACAGCGAATCGCGGCGCCTTAGACGACTGGGCCACCCGTGCCCCCAAATATTTAAAGATTATTTTTTTTTATTTCTTTTTTTTTTTTTTAAATTGAACCATAAACTAAACGTGCAGGGACTTTATGATGATGCAGGCGGTGCCTGAGAACCAAGACTATTTTTTTCTTTAGCCTAACTTACCAGGGATTGTTCCAAGTGTGATCTCGGGCTGACCAAACTTGGCTTTCTCTCCAGCATAGATGATGTCGCACATCATGGCGACCTCGCAGCCTCCGCCCAGCTGCAACAGGCAAACACTGTAGCACAAATTGTTCTCCTACATGTTGTTTCAATTTGATCTTCAGGGAGAAGTGATTACAGTTATAACATCCTTAGGACATCAAATCCACATTAAGAGTACTACCACACAAGCACCTTTGGTCAAATCCATCTCTTTGACAAACATTTTACCAATCAGTAATTGTTATCAAGTGACAAATATTAGAGCAACATTTCAAAAGTTAAAACAGAAATCAACTCTAACAATGTATCAAATCAATTATGAACAAAAAGACAACACATAAACCTCGCCTATCTTGCATCAATAGACAAGTTTCTTTTGTAACAACTGCAAGTAAGCAGAAACTGAAGCATGAGTCTACAGGGCACGTACAGCATATCCATTGACTGCAGCTAGGATAGGCTTTCTCAAGTTGGCTATACTGTCTGCCTCTCCAGGAAAATAAGTGCTTGTTACTTCAAAAAAGGACTTAACACTCATTTCTTCTATGTCTGCACCCACTGGAAGTGAAAATGTAGCATATACTAGTAGACTGCCATACATACTAAATTGACTTGACACTGGGCAATAACCACACCTAGTGCAGATGACCACAGTAAAGAAAACCATTTGATTTCTCATCTCTTGTCCATTTGGATTCAAAGAGTCTATGGCATCATGACATTGTATTGTACATTGTAGTGTCCTTCCTGGAAGACCTCCTAAAGGAATCATTTGGTGATGTGTCTAGTGTGGCTGTTGACAAGGTAGAAGAAAGGCAGGCCAGGGGGACTCCCAGCATTTGAAGTCTTCTGGGTACAAACTGACACTCAAACAATCAGCTAATGTTCAAAATCATTTCATTGGGTCCCAATACAGTGCTACCCACACTCAGTCCAAACTATGGAGTATTATAGGACACTGTAGCCTGGAGACTACTTCTACCCTTGAATCCTCCTCACATAGTGAACTGGATTCCATTTGTTCTACCTGGGAAAACTTTTTACACCCTGTCCTTGAAAACTCCCTTTCAAATCCAACATTGCAATGAGAAGGGGTGAAAACCCCTCAGAACCCATACATGTTTCCATACATCCCTCACATGGAATACATAATTTCTGGATTGCTTCAGAATAAATGATTCCCTGTAAAAAATAAAGACAGATACTGGTAAAGTACATTCCAGCCTCCTGCACTGTAATCTTGAAGCCTATCTGCAATATAGTGTAAGTCACGTACAACATAGCCCTGGACAGCTGCTACGATGGGCAGTCAAGTCCCCCAGGAAAGTACGTCTCATAAACCCCCAGATATGTTTCTTCACACATTTCCTTGATGTCATCACCAACTGAAACATGGTAACCATCACTGCATGAAGCTTGCAATCCGCTGTATCATGTCAATATGTTCACTACATCTCTAGGACACCCATGCAGGAAGGACACTCATGAAACAGCCAGGAATCACTAAGTCTTCTAAAACAAAAGGTATCAAAAGTTTCTATATGTGGTCAGTGCACTAAGCTTGGCCTTTGTATACAGAGACAGAGAGTGTTTCATACAGCGAATCCATTGACAGCAGCAATGACCGGCTTGGTAAAGTCGGACAGTCTTGTCCAGTGACTGAGGAAGTTCCCGCTGAACACCTGGGCAAACTGTTGGCCCTGCATCTCCTTGATGTCTGCCCCGGCTGAAACATGACAGGGTTACTTACTCTAGGCTGTCACTGTGTGGTCAGTGACATGGATCTAGAGAGTGAATGAGTTTTTCAAGCGAGAATCACCAGTGTCAGCAGTACTTCAGCCACATTTTGGTGAAGATTTGGTCTTCTTCCCATGCATGTGGTAACCTCTCATAATTCAAACCACTCGAAACCAAATCACTGTGAATTTCTGTGCATAAAAGTTCACATTCACTTTGTTTTATCATGTTCAGAGCAATGGTAGCTACTGGGGACCTTCCATCCAGCAAGTATTTGTAAATCATACATGTCAGTTTGTTTGTTAGATTGTTGTTTAACGCTGCACTCAGCAATGTTCCGGTTATATTTAAAAAATATTCCAGTCTGTAAATAATCGAGTCTAGACCAGACAATGATTGACATCATGATCAATGATCAACACAATTGGGATAAGATGACATGCATCAGCCAAGACAGTGAGCCAGACCAGCTGATCCCGTTAGTTGCTTCTAATGACAAGCATGGGTTCTTGAAGACCATTTCCAACCCAGATCTTTACCGTACCATCCATATCAAATCAATAGTGATTGCTAGAGGATTTGTTGATACTGTATGATAAGATATTGTCAAACCGCAACCATGCTCCCAATACTACTCATGTCCAAACCTGGATAATACATGGGAACTCTGAGCATCTTAATATTTAATTGTAGAGATATCAAGTTTTCAACTTTAACTGGGAAATTTCAACACATGCTAAATGAGTAAGATTCAACCATCTCATATTTCTTGCGAACTTAGAACTTTCTCATCTGTCTGGTAAAACTCATTATTCCTAAGTCTTATTGAGTCTGCTTTTAGTTTGCAGCTAACATGCACATTCTTTTTATTTGACCCAAGAAGGACATCACAGACAGAAGTAATTAGAAGACTAAAGTGAAAATCTTCAAGAATCTTTCACACAGTACCCGCAAAGGCCCTCTCACTGCCAGTGAGGACTACACAGCCGACACCACGGTCCTTCTCAAACTGGTCCAGGGCTACACTGACTTCTTTCATGAGACCATCACAGAGAGCGTTGAGAGCCTTTGGCCGATTCAGCTGTATCAAGCCAACATTGCTCTTCTCCCCTTTCTTGTCCACGAGAATGTATTCAAAGTTTCCTGTCAGGACAATGATGACACGTTTGAAGTTACCTGTACTGTAACTGCTTGTATTACATTACTGTAAGTATCAACAGAGGTGCAAGGGTCAGCTGATCAATGTTTACAAAATGTATATAAGTTGAAGATCATCATGTGAAATTTTTCAACCATTCTCAGCTAGTACATCTTTAAACATCATGAATGCTACGGACTGACATGAACATTGTGCTAAATATACACACTAGTACTGTGTGCTGCAGATTGACATGCTACAGACTGACATAAATGTTGTTCTACACATAAGTACTGTGTGCTACAGACTGACATGAATGTTGTTCTACACATAAGTACTGTGTGCTACAGACTGACATGAATGTTGTTCTACACATAAGTACTGTGTGCTACAGACTGACATGAATGTTGTTCTACACATAAGTACTGTGTGCTACAGACTGACATGAATGTTGTTCTATGCATAAGTACTGTGTGCTAGACTGACATGAATGTTGTTCTATGCATAAGTACTGTATGCTGCAGATTGACATGAATGTTGTTCTACGCATAAGTACTGTGTGCTAGACTGACATGAATGTTGTTCTACCCACAAGTACTGTGTGCTAGACTGACATGAATGTTGTTCTATGCATAAGTACTGTGTGCTAGACTGACATGAATGTTGTTCTATGCATAAGTACAGTGTGCTAGGCTGACATGAATGTTGTTCTATGCATAAGTACAGTGTGCTAGACTGACATGAATGTTGTTCTATGCATAAGTACAGTGTGCTAGACTGATATGAATGTTGTTCTATGCATAAGTACTGTGTGCTAGACAGACATGAATGTTGTTCTATGCATAAGTACAGTGTGCTAGACTGACATGAATGTTGTTCCACGCATAAGTACTGTGTGCTAGACTGACATGAATGTTGTTCTACGCATAAGTACTGTGTGCTAGACTGACATGAATGTTGTTCTACGCATAAGTACTGTGTGCTAGACTGACATGAATGTTGTTCTACGCACAAGTACTATGTGCTACAGATTGACATGAATGTTGATAATCACATGTACAAACACTTTGTCATGGTTACCCATGATGACCCTGAAATTGCACGTGCATCCCTGTCACTGCATGCATAAAATGTCATGAGTGAGAAATTTGTCACTTTTCAAAGTACATGTGGGACCAACTCAATTCAAACACAGATTCATTTGCATGAGTGTTTTAACTGTGAAAAGCAACTTTGTTGACGGCCAAACCTTGTAAACATTATGCCCACCTATCTGCGGCTGTGTGCAATTGGAATGCTTGCAACTGGAATTGCATAAAATGTTGTTGTAGGCGTGTAGGTGTTAAGATGAACACCTACATGCCTACAACAACATACAGTCACTCCAGTACCACACACTGGCAATACCAGGGACCGCCCACTTTCTGGACGTCCACTAGAAACGTCACATCAGCAACATAATCAAAGCCGCCTGGTTCACCTGTGAAATCAGTTTCAGACTGCACCTTTGACAGCATGCTCCATCCCTGGCTTACATTCAATTAGTGCAAGGACTTTGAGGAGTCAATTATGACAGCATAACAACTGACCACGTCAACTTTGCTGCCACGTCATCAGACAGCATGCCTGGCATGGTCAAGACAACATCTGAGGTTCAAGTTACAGGACTGGAGTTTAGACACCATGAAAGATGAGGCCAGGCTTCATCTTGACAGTCCATCAGCGAGGTTTATCAACATTGGAAGGAGTTTTACGCTGACGTTCAATGTTCTGCGTCTGGTTGTGAGAGCATAATGGTGTGGGAAGACGTCACTGCACATCACAGGAACCGTCTAGTGGTCATCAATGGCAATCTGTCAGGTGTATGGTACAATGACTAAAAGCTGTCTATCCTCACATCATTCCATTCCTTCAGTCCCATGGACATCACATTAGTTCACAACAGCAGGACAATGAACACCCTCACATTACACATGTGGTCACAAGCTTAATTGGACAAGACAACATCCCCATACTCCCTTAGCCTGCTGTTTCACCAGATCTGTGACACATCAAACATGTGGGTTAAAATGAAACACCGACTTCCAAACCAACCAGTGACATTGATCCAACAGCGACAGGCCTTGGTACAGATCTGGAATGACATCCCACAAGCCTTCCTCAATGACCTTGCGTCATCAGTGTGGCGCCTTTGTCAAGCTTGTGTTACTGCTAATGGTGGGCATACCCGATGTGTGGACATATGTTGACACTGTAAAAATGAATTCAGGGTCCGCTCTCCCATTCATCTTTTCTTGAAACAACACCCGCCATTGTTTATGTCAACATGACCGACAAATCGGATTAACCCATTTAACGCTTGAAAAGGTAAGAATTTATGGCTAACCGTTACCAAAAGCAAGCTAACCCTAAGAAAAAACGAAAACGGGTGTTGGATCGTAAAGACGGGTCAGTTTCTCTAAGACCGAAATGGGGTGTTCGATTGTAAAGACGTGTAAGTTTCCCTAAGACCGAAAACGTGTTTTGGATCGTGAAGTGAGAGTCACCGGAGCGTGAGGCATGGTAACTGTATAGCGAGACAGCGGCGGTACTATGTAGCGCGGTAATTGAGTGGATGGTAGAGCTCGGCTGCGGCCGGTAACCTGCATTGTTGCCGAATGTTTGGCCAATCGTTGTGGCATGACTTATTAGTGATCAAGCCATCAGAAACTGAGGTGAGCCTGTTTCGTTTTCGCCTGATTATGCACCGATTCTGCACCGAATCTGCACCGACTATCACAGACACAATGACACAGGAAGCACTTCGTGCAAACGTCCATTTTCATGTATTACAACCATTACCTGTAGTTAAGCAACGACTGAGTGGTGTCAGTTGATATTTTGCAGTATGTTTACTGCTTAGTTGCATTAAATTCACCCCAACTTTCCTCAACAAGGTCGCCATGTTTATAAAGTGGTTCCTCGCTCTCTATGCGCGTACGCCAGCGAGCTACATCTGGTTCAGATATAATACGGACAAACCCTTCTGCTATTTTAAGTGATTTTTTTTCTTGCGTTTGTGAAGAAAACAAAACATGACCTTCCCCAGACATATGTAATGTTCTTAGAGAGTCTCGCTAATTTATTGGCCCGCAGTTTAAAAATCTATTAACAGTAATTTTAACCTTTTCAATACAAAATATGCGACTTTTTAAATGATATATTTGACCTAAAGATTAATAAACGAACGAGTAGTTTATTAAAGTGCCACATGGGTTTGTTACAAATGGTTGTATATAATTACGTAACACAAACGAGCTTGGAATTTTCGAAAGTTCCCCGGTTATTTCGTAACCCTAAAAATTAGAAACTTCGTAATTAACCCTGTTTTCTACTTCTAACAATTCGTTTATAAGACTTAATCATAAACATCTGGGGAGAGAGAGAGCTTATATTAGTACGTGTTCTTAGTGCATGCTAGCCCACTGAGATACCAGGCCGCAATTTAACCCGGAGAGCCCACTCAGACACAGTATACTCTATATTTGATTCTGACTCGACCATGCCTTGTGTTGTCCCCGTAATGCCGAGCACCAGGCAGTGGAGTAACAACTTAACTATTAGTGCCATCTTTTAAAATCAAGAATATTATCTGATAAATTATGACGGTGACTTTTCTATGGTAACCTCCCAGTATGGCCACCGACCTGTCTACCCCTCACAGTGTCCACACAGGGACAACTGATCGCAATTAATTAAGTTGTTGAGTAAAGAGGGATTAGCAACTAATTCTGTACTGATCAACAAAAATGACCTGACCAGAGATGTCTGATGCTAGACTTTTGAAGTTAGGACTGGAGTATGTGATGTGTGATCCTTTTTGTCAGCATGCAGAACCGTTATCAAATTGAAGGCATTTGACAATTTAAGTGACCAGTGAGCAGTTACACAAGTGAAGTGAATAGTGACAATGTACAATAGAAGCACAAAACTTTTTCAATGCAAACGGTTAATAAATGTATAATATGAATACTTTGTTTTGTTTTATTTTTTTAGTTAAAGATCCCAATTAACGATGAGTGGTCACAGTGAGAATAGTAAAACGAAGAGTGGTCACAGTGGGAATTTTCACAGTAACCAATTAAAACACTGTGGTCACACTGGGAATAAACCAACGATATATGGTGCTGTTTTGTGTTTTCGCCAGTCAATCATGTTACAAACATATGGAATCGAACATGGTCTGCATGGATCAGACCGGTTATCTCGTCCGGTCGGAAAAAAAGTAACTTTTAGTCTCGTACCTGGTCATGCGTTTCCTCATTTTCAGTTTAAATCAATATATACGCACAAAGGCATTCACCGATTACTTTAGAATTTAGAATTGATGGTCTGCGTAGATAATCAAAATAGTCTGCACTCCTTCTTTACAAATTTGATGTTTATTCGTGAAACACACAGACTTCCGGGCACAGAGAGTAGTAATGTGTCGATGTTATGATTGTAAGATTTTTGTATATAAAATATGAATTTAGGTCCTTCAAACTCCTACGGCAACGGGCTTTTATATGCAGGATGGAACCAAGACCAGGGTATGGATTTCATTTATCAATAGGCTTGTGTGTTTATATCAATAACAGCACTAATATTTGGTAGGAGGAATAACAGCGAAGCGAGGGTTAACGCCAACAGCTGAACAAATGAAGACCCCTCCCCTTTTCTAAATGCGCTCGTCTTAACCATTCCAGTCATTAGTCTATTTCTGTTTTAACTGCTACTGCAAAAATAAAAGGACTCATCAGTAACCGTTTTGTTATCTTCGTGTTAACTGTCAACATTCTGAATTCTTATAGATTAATCTACGGAGAATCTAGACTCTCAGACAAACTGTCAAAAAAGTTGGAGATAGCTGTCGGTGTGACTATTGGAACACTCTTAATCAACTTCTAGCAAAACATTCTAGCTGTAGTTTAGTGAATTGCCGATTGTCATCAATCCACTGACAGTGACATGATGCTGCTTATTCAGTAGATTAGCATGTGGGTTATTATTATTATTATTATTTACAGATTAAAATAAAAAATGCAGCAAAGAGGGTTTGGGTGATCCTGGCACAGTCAGGCTGGTTAGGCTCATCATTAGCTCAGGGCCCTTGCCCCCCTCTACACGCAACCCAGACAGCGAATGGGACTTCTCCCAGGAAGCACTGCCTAGTCAAACCCATGCAGAACTTTTCGCAGAATGTGAAGACTCCCCAACACTGCAGCCTTCTGCATTACCCAGATTGTCAGAAGGGCTGTTTTCCTGGTAGCAAACCCGGGTACTCTCCCAATGTCAGTCAACAGATTGTGAGGTACCAAACCTAAGGCACCAAGAACAATGGGGAGTCGGACAGCTTGGTACTTGGGATGCAAGCGTGACATTTCGAAAGTGAGGTCTGCATATTTGCCATGTTTTTCGTCAATCTTGTCAATCACATTAGTGTCAAAGGGGACAGAAAATTCAATGTTATAAATGATTTCATTGGATTTATCAAAAAGTACAAGATCAGGTTTGCTGGCCTGGATATGTCTGAGGCTGTAAATGGGCCTATTCCAAAGAATTTTGTATTTATCATTTTCCATGACACACTCTACATATTCTGGGTCATACCAAGGGTGGACCTCTGTGTCAAAACCACAAGCATGGCGAAGACGGTAATAAAATGATCGAAGTACACCATCATGTTTTTTAAGATACTGTGTTTGTGCCAAAGTTTGGCATCCACTGACAATGTGTTGGACAGTCTCATTAAATTCATTACATAATCTACATTTCATATTTACATTTTGAAGCAAAATCACACATTGACGGTTTTGAGTGGGAAGTGACTGGTCCTGAGCAGCAAACAGAAAGCCTTCTGTTTCACTTTTCAGGCCAGACAACTTCATCCAAGCGAAGGACTCTGCAGGATTGCTGATCTTCTCAACACACTGCACATAAACTTGATGCAGTGGTCGTTCAGATAGCCTCTCCTTTAAAAACTGAGCCTGGGCCGACTTGATACGGCACTTCGCTTGGTTGACACTCATTTCTGTACCGCCCAGCAGTACAGAACCATCAACAAAATCAACACCGACATTGAGATTATGTCCCACATCCTTGGCTGATTTTAGAAAACTGTGGAATGCCTTGTTTTCATCATGAGTCTTGACATGCTTCACAAGAGGATCATCAGACAAATAAATGTGTGCAAAAGTGCACAAAACAATTCTATCATGAAGAGCCTCCACATTTATCAAACCACGTCTCCCATAATGATTGTTAAATATGAGCAATTGAGGGAAGAGCGAGGGTGGTGGGATCTATTGTCTGACATGATTCTTCATGTGAGGGTCTCAATACCCTGAATATCTTGTTTCGTCCAATCAACACCACCAAAAGAATATGAAAGGACGGGTACAGCATAAGTATTTGTGGCTTTTACTTTATGGCGAGCATTCAGATTATTATTATTATTATTATTTACAGATTAAAATAAAAAATGCAGCAAAGAGGGTTTGTGTGATCCTGGCACAGTGGGGCTGGTAAGGCTCATCATCAGCTAAGGGCCCTTGCCCCCCCCCCCTACACGCAACCCAGACAGCGAATGGGACTAAATGATTTCATTGAATTTATCAAACAGTACAAGATCAGGTTTGTTGGCCTAGATATGTTTGAAGCTTTATTATTATTATTACCCGGTATTATTATTATTATTATTATTATTATTATTATTATTATTCCTTGCTCAGGTTAAACCGTATGCAAAAGTACATCCGGATACATCCTATATTGTGATATATGTATGCATACAAATTGAAAATGGATGTAAAAAGTTTACATATGGATTCTGGGGGATGTAAAGTGTGGCTGTTTGGATGAACAACATTGCATACTAGTGGTGGGACGATACACTGATGCAAGTATTGATCACAGTCGCACACTTAGTAATAAATATTGATTCTGACCTTAAATGTTTGCTTTAATAACTGTTCCACTAAACACTAATCAGTAGTGTTGTTAATAGTGAAAACATAAATATTTTCATCCATTGTGTTGGGTTCTCAGGGAGGAACGACAAATGCGGGAGCAGGGAGACGAGCCTGCCACTTGACCGGCTGTTTATTCCGACTGTCGCATGTTACATAACAGCACGTGATTGCGCTTACCTGCAACTAATCGCATTACAAGAGCGGACATCTGTTGGCCTGTCATAATATTATACACTAGCTTGTTTAAAACTACTGCGTTTCAATTACAGATATAACATCCGCCCCTCCTAAATTTAAGTTACTTTGAAACCAAAATAATAATCTTTGATAAACAACATAGTCCACGGAACTTCATAAAGTATAAGTAACTTAACAATGTACACTGACTCTTGTAAAGTACTAATAACCCTGTGACTTGACAAGTCAGTCATAATGAAAACATTGTTAAAGTAGAAAGTGAAATTTAACTAAACTGAGCTTTTTTTCGACACATAATAATACTGATAACCTGCTGAAGTATTATAGTCCTGATACAAGTAACTGTAATTCACAGCTAAATCAAATGCCACCTTGACACATAGTTCACTGCAAATGACAGTCACAGTTCACTCAAATGTCACTTTGACACAAAGTCCCTCAGATAAGACGGTTGCTGCTTCACTCTGGTTGAACGACGAAGTATGGGTGCTACAGGCGATGTCACTACCGGCGTTTCCTCCCCCGGTTCAGACATATCTGGTACACTTGAAACATCCCCTTGGATACTTTCCTCATGGGAATCTACCTGTGATGTGTCAGGTAAGTCTGATTCATACTCCTTCCTTCGTGAAGACTGTGATTCTAGCGGAGTGTCTGAACGTTCAATCACGTCCCTTCGGGGTGAAGATGAAGACATCCTGCGTCTGACATGATCCACATGCCTTCTGACCAATCTTCCATCCGTTAACTTGATGATGTACGACAATGGACCAGTTACACTATCAACTTGTCCACTAATCCACTTTGGACCTGAAGCAAAGTTCTTAACCCACACCGAGTCATTCACTTGGAATGCCCTACATTTCGTCAGAGCTGACTGATCCACAAGTTTTCTCTGGTTCTTTTTCACCTTTGAGGCAAGGTTTGGAAACATCAAGTCCAATCGCGAACGCAATCTGCGTCCAAGAAACAACATTGAAGGTGATACACCAGTTGTAGACTGTGGTGTAATTATATAAGAAAATAGTAACCTATGTAGTTGAGTTGCAACTGTGTCACCAGTTGTCTTCTTTAATCCATCTTTTATTATTTGAACCGCCCTTTCTGCTAAGCCATTCCCAGCCGGGTGATGAGGGGATGTTGTCACATGTTCAACTCCATTTCTGGACATAAATGTAGCAAATTCTTCCCCAACAAAAGCTGTAGCATTATCAGTTACAATAATTTCTGGTATGCCATAAGCTGCAAACATCCGACGCAGCTGGTTTATGGTAGCCTTTGCATTTGACGACGACATAGGTGCACATTCGATCCATTTGGAGTAGGCGTCAATCACTATAAGAAACATGCTACCCATGAATGGACCAGCATAATCCATATGCAGTCTTTGCCAAGGTTGAGAAGGATACTCCCAAGGGTGTAGGGGAGCTACACTCGGACAATTCCTGTCTTCCTGGCAGGAATCACAACTGTTTACTGTTGTTTCTATGTCAGCATCTAGATGCGGCCACCAAACATAGCTTCGGGCCAAGCCCTTCATCCTGGGGTTTCCTGGGTGGGACTGATGCAACTCTGACAATATGACAGATCTGAGTTTCAATGGAATGATGACCCTCGAACCTCTCAATAAGCATCCATCCATCACACTGAGTTCAGAATGAACTCTGTAGTACGGCTCATAGTGGTCATCCAACTTATCACGCTGCGGCCAACCTCGGATCACAAATTCTCGAACAATAGACAATGTTCGGTCCTTGCCAGTCTGGATACTTATGTCTTTAGACTTCAGAGGGCATGTGTCCAATTCCTGAAGCATTAAGACTGTCATGTCTTCCATAGGCTTCCCTGAGTCAGGCGCTGGCAACCTGCTCAATGCGTCTGCATTGGTATGCTGTGTACCTTTCCTGTGTACAATTTTATAGTCATATGCAGTCAACAACACTGACCATCTCTGAACTCTTGGAGACACCATCTGTGGCACTGGATTATTCTCATTGAATAATGACACCAACGGCTTGTGATCTGTCACGATCTGGAAATGACGTCCATAAACATACTTATGAAACTTTCGCAGTCCAAAGATCACACTCAGTCCTTCACGATCAAGTTGAGAATAATTCTGCTCTGCCTTAGTCAGTGTCCTTGAAGCAAAACTTATAGGTCTCTCCGAACCATCAGGCAGTTGGTGAGCCAACACAACACCTACTCCGTAGGGGGATGCATCACACTGCAGTAAAAGTGGTTTGGAGCTGTCAAAATGAATCAAGACATCCGAAGACTGAAGCAAGTTCTTCGACTTCTCAAACGCTTTTTGTTGAGATGTACTCCATGACCATTTCACTTCTTTTTGTAGCAACTTGTACAAGGGGGAGAGAGTGTCA